ACACACACACACACCCCATGACGGACACACACACACGCACCCCATGAATGACAGACAGACACACACACACCCCATGACGGACAGACAGACACACACACACCATACAGACAGACAGACACCATGACACAGACAGACACACACACACACCATACAGACAGACACACACACACACCAGACAGACAGACAGACACCATGACACAGACAGACAGACACACACACATACCATACAGACAGACACACACACACACCATACAGACACCATAACACAGACAGACACATTACTTATACCTGCCAGGGGGAGGTCTTCTGGGGGCATCTGGGGGACATGTCCTGACGGCCCGCTGGGGAGGTCTTCTGGCGGCCGCTGGAGAACTTGTCCTGGTGGCCGCTGGGGGAGCTGCGCTGTCTGTGCTCTCCCGCCCTCGCGCACTGCAGAATGAGACCGGCGCCGCAATATGACGTCATATTCCGGCGCTGGTCTCATTCAGCTGCGCGCTGGGGAGCACAGACAGAGGCGTCTGCCCGGCCCCAGGAGCCGACGGCCCACCGGGAAATTTCCCGGTATCCCGGTGGGCCAGTCCGGCCCTGTTTGTGACCACTGCAAGCATGGCTTGGGTGAGCCAATTATCTCCAGTATACAGAAAATAGCTCTATTCACAACAACAGTAAAAACACATAAAAATACATAATTCCTATCATACTGAACAGAACCCCCACATTCAACCTATCCCCAGATGGCTTGTATCTGAGCGCTCAATATATCCAAACAGCGCCCAGATCCCACAAACACAGTCAAATCGCCATGGGGTTTAAGTCTAGCATCAAGTTCTAACTGGTCTGGCAGTGTCCCTTGGACAACGCCCTGCTGGAGAACAATAGACATGAAAAACGGGGGAGGGGCACACCTTCTCATGTATTCAAAGGGACAAAAAAAGTGTTTCAATATCCAATAAGCCCAATAATGCATACACAGGGCAAAGTCTCCCAGGGGCCATAATCTGAAGGGAGGAGGCGAGCAAACAAGCTTCTCCAATGTCCAGTGGCGAGGTAGGCATACATTTGTCATAATAAAATGTTCCTTCGAATTGAAACCCCAATGAACCAAAGCAGTCAGGATATATAGGAAGTAACCTAAATGCTGACTCAATGTCAACTTTTGACATAAGTGCATTCTGACTGCACTTCCTAACCCATTTCAGCGCATCTTCAAACGAAGTATAAGACACAGAAATAATGGAAGTATCCCCTTCATCATTCAAAGATGTACCTTGCGGGTAAGACAAATGGTGAATTAATCTATAGGTACCAAGTGGCACACTCTATGCAGTATAATGTCTGGATCCACATTATACTGCATCTAAAGCGATATTACCTGAGTTAGTTTTCACATAACAGGCTCAACAAAATGTGAGTTGGACCATACAGAGACTTGGAAGTTTTATTTACCACTTTTACTGTGTTGTCGTATGAGATTTTTCTTCTTTATATTGTGTAGGAAAACCTGTGTTAATATCTCCATTATTGGAGAAGTTACACTGTATTTATATTCAGGTATATTCACACTCACCTTTTTACACATTTGGTGGTGTAAACCCTGGGAGCTAGAGTATCAACACTGCTCTTTTATACCTTGTGCTGAGCACTTTATTTTGTATTGTATAATTTTATTGTTGGTGGAATTTTAAGTGATTAACTCCACAGTGTTCATAGCTGCATGCTGTTTAGCGCCCACACTATTACACCGTCGTTAGTATATTATCCTGTCATCTGTAGCTTGAGCCTTGGGTCAGTATAGGTAAAGTGTATTATTCCCAACAGTTCCCCTCCCCATTTTTATTTAGGGCCCCCATCCGCCACTCATGGGTGGGGGCTGGGGGGGAGGACAATAGGTCCCCCCTTATTGTTATTTAGGGCCTCCACCAGCCGCTCAGGGGTGGGGGCCGGGGGGAGGACAATAGGTCCCCACCCTCCACATTTTCATTTAGGGCCCCACCCGCTGCTCAGGGGTGGGGGCCGGGGGAGGGAGGACAATAGGTCCTTATTGTTATTTAGGGCCCACACCCGCCGCTCAGGGGTGGGGGCTAGGGGGGAGGACAATAGGACCCCACCACTTTTTCATTTAGGGCCCCATTTGCCGTTCAGGGGTGGGGGCCAGGGGGGAGGACAATAGGTGTGTCCCCCCCCCTTATTGTTTAGGGTCCCACATGCCGCTCAGGGGTAGGGGCCAGGGGGAGGACAATAGGTCCTTAGTGTTATTTAGGGCCCCCACCCGCCGCTTAGGGGTGGGGGCTCGGGAGAGGACAATAGGTCCCCACCCTCCACATTTTCATTTAGGGCCCCATCCGCCGCTCAGGGGTGGGGACTGGGGGAGGAAATAGGTCCTTATTGTTATTTAGGGCCCCCACCCGCCGCTCAGGGGTGGGGGCTGGGGGGGGGAGGACAATAGGGGTCCCCCCCTTATTGTTTTTTAGGGCTCCCACCTGCCGCTCATCGGTGGGGGCTTCGGGGAGGACAATAGGTCCCCACCCTCCACATTTTCATTTAGGGCCCCACCCACTGCTCAGGGGTGGGGGCCGGGGGGAGGACAATAGGACCCCACCACGTTTTCATTTAGGGCCCCCACCGCCGCTCAGGGGTGGGGGCCGGGAGGGAGGACAATAGGTGTCCCCCTTATTGTTTTTTAGGGCTCCCACCTGCCGCTCATGGGTGAGGGCCGAGGGGGAGGACAATAGGTCCCCCCATTTGTATTTCGGTCCCTCACCCGCCGCTCAGTGGTGGGTGCCGGGGGGAGGACAATAGGTGTCCACCCATTTTTATTTAGGGACCCCATCCGCCGCTCAGGGGTGGGGGCTGTGGGGGGGACAATAGGACACCCCCCATTTTTAATTTAGGGCCCCCATCCACCGCTCAGGGCTATTGGCCGGGGGGGGGGCGATAGGTCCCCCTTTCAGTTTAATAGCCCCCACTCACTCAGCATGGGGAGGGGAGACACTAGGGGCTTCTTTTTTTAACAGTGAACAGCCACAGGCTGCTCACTGTTTAGTAGACATGCCCCTACTCACGATATAGCGAGTAGGAGCAGAATTTACTAAAACTAAGTAATCTTTACTTAGTATTAATATATTTGGCTGAAAGACCAATCTTGGTCTTTCTGCCTTTGTTAGATAGCTCCCTAATACCGTGGGAATTAGGGAGCTATCTACTAAGCGGCTGCAAGATGCAGCTGGGCACGAATAGGATCGAAGTTTCATTAATTCTAATGAAATTCCGATACGAACAAAGTCCTGAATTGTGTCCTAACACGAATGGAGAACCTGTTTTCATTCTGTTAGGACGACATTAGGTATTTTCGTCAGCGTTTCTGTCTAAGTGACAGGACGTTTGGGAATACTGACTGGAAGCATCGCGAGATCACAGATCAAAGGTGAGAATTGTGGGAAAATTGTTTTGATCATCGGACACAAAGAACACTTTGCTTCTCCGCTGGCCATAGCTGGTCAGGCATAGAAAACCTCCATAAGACAAAGTAGTCCCTAGTCTTAGTCTAGTCTAGTATAGTAGTCTTATGTTTTAAAGAAAACTAGAGAAGACAGGAAGAAATGAAGAACAGATCATGACAGAGGGAGAGAAGAGGAATCGATTAAAGAAAGGTAAGTTCGGCATGACTGCCGCTTTAACATCCTTAATCAAATGCTTGATCGATATCTTTTCAATAAACTACAAAGAAAATTATGAAGGAAATAAAAGAAAAACAGCTCTACATTAAACATTTCTTCTTTATTCTGGCGCCAAATATCACCTCAGGGTGCTTTTTATATTGCGGTTTTCCCGTTCTAGAGCGCCGTCGTGGACAAGCGCTCCAATAAGAGCACTGTCCGCGCAGACTCCTGCATAGAAATTCACGAGGGCATCGTTACAGCTGTTACTGATGCCCTCGCGACAGATAGTGGTGTGTGCAGCAACTTTGACCCCTGAATAACCCTGTAACGCACATGTGTACCTAGTCAGTTGACTAGGTACATTCTAACTGCACTCAAAGTGAATTGCAGTTTGGCTATTTTGACCTTAAATTTGTAATGCAGTTTGAATCCTCACTCTAGTGAATAACTCTTATAGGGAAAGTGGAACCATTTGGAAACTACCAAGGAAAATAAAAAGAGAAAAAGTTTTTGAAGAATCAGCTCAACCAATCAAGCCTTTAGTAACAGAGCTGGGAGAGGAGCATCTAGATATATGAATGTCCTCAATTATTATTATTATCATTTATATAGCGCCATCAGATTCTGTAGTGCTGCACAATGGGATATTACAAAAACACCATCAAGTAATGGAAGGAAGATCAGCAAGGTAAAAGAAGATCATCACCATTTCAGAGAGATTTCTTTAAACAGCAAATCCTGTTAAGAGCAATAATTAATATATGGTTTACCACTATGCAGCAAGGACATACATCTTAGTGGGTGTTATATTCCTTCACTCAAGATGAACAAAAAAATGAAAATATTGCAATAAAGTCATCAGCATATAAGATTTTATTTAGGCAACTGACTATTTTTGGGGGGCATTAGCTTTAGGCTGAGGGTATAGGGACAATTAGAGCAGTGAGAGTGGCTAAGGATAGTGGGGGTGGAAGTTGACAGTGGGGTGTGACAGAAGTTGAGGGTGAATGGCTGAGGATAGTGGGATTAGTGAAATTATGGCATAGTATGCTGGCTTAGTGGTTAAGGGTAGTGAAGGTGGGTGAGGGAACAGTAGGGGCAGCGGTCGAGGACTGAGAATAGTTATGGTGGCTCAAAATACAGATAAAACACAATAGTAGTATTTTTCAGCAGTATTTCACTCTCCTCTATGCTAATTAACATTTAAATAAAACTTGAAAACTTTCTATCCCATGCTAGAATCCTTCAACAAGATATATCACAACCAGGCAGGGAGGTGGTTAAGTGTTTATGCAGTAGAATTTAAGTTTCGTTTCATTATAACTTCCTTGTTATGACTGTATATGGGGAGGGATTTCTGCTGACTGAAATGCTATAAATGTATCTTTCAGGTATTAGGGCAAATCAGACGCGAAATGGCAGAAGGGAATTCTGGAAGAGGAATGAAGGGCAGTTCATCTAGTACTGACCCAGAGAAACCTTTGAAAGGAAGAAAAAGTACAACCAGGTCAGACAAGCAAAGCAGAGAAAAGAATGTGTGCATTAGCAGGGAAGAAGGAGACGACAAGCCTCGGGATATCCATTTAAACCGGGGCAAATCAGTAAATGGAAGGAGACAACCCAGTACTAAAGCAGAATCAGGTGACAAGAAGCAAGGGAAACATAAAAAGGAAGACACTAAAGCGTCACCTGAAACTAGGGCAATGGGAACAATACCACGGACACCCACCAGAAAGAAGACCACCAAGGAGTCTACTGATTCTCCTAAATTTGAAGATAGTGTGGCAAAACCATTCAGCACTCAAAGAAAGAGCAGCAAGGTATCTACAGACATGGCATCACAACCCCAAACAAATCAGGAGACACCCATTCCATCTCGTGAAAGTCGTAGAAGTCTAAAAGCTGTAGTGGAGAAACTGAAAGTAAAAATGGTTGAAAAATCAGCTGCAGCTCAGATAGTGAATAATACTATAGATAACATTCTCAAGTGTGCCAGTTTGAAAGAACATCCTATATTTAAGGATATTTTAAAAATGAATACTGGAAGCTACTATGAAGGGCTTAAGGTAAGAGAACAAAATCTTCTTGATACAAAATTACAATTCATTTTATATGTAACTCTTACCTTTTTTTTAAAAAATTCTTTATTTTTGTAGTGCAGAAACTTATAACAGATGGTTGTGAGGTACCCCAAAGGCAATCCTCCACCGTATTGTAAACATTTGGACATATAGGTACCAGATAGGTCTAGCACTATTTTTAAGGTTAGTTTAAGTAGTAAACAGTAGAGGGTTAAACAGTTAACTCTGGTATTTAACTTAAGGTAACATCGCTGGTGTATCAGGTCAGCTAATATTTTATGTGTTATTGATATACAATTGAGTAGGTTCTGATGCGTGATCGGTGTCACAGTCTAGTGTGCACGTCTAATGTGTGCTATGTCTTAAGTATGGCTGTGGACTGCTAGACTGCTTCGTTGGTCAAAGAACTGGCCTCTTGCTTCCCCTTTCGCTATTATGATTTGTTAAGTCTCTTCGGCTGTCAGTGTATTTACTTATCTATTGGGTTATACCCTGTGGCGAAACCGACCTCGCCACTGGGCATTGAAGAAGACTGATTGCCAGCCTCCTGCCATGTGACTATGGCCCCTGGGATGTATTGCCCTTTAAAGACATGATTTGGGCATAATGGATTTGTGTTGTGCTGCTGCTGGCCCTTTAAGAAGCATCTGGGGACATACTGTGGAGTTACTTGGTGGCCACCATTTCATGTATCAGAAGCACATGGTGAGAACAATGGATGGTGGCCATTTTAACTCACAGACACTGTTTGGACTTTTCTACACGGTACCATCTCGCCAGTATTTGGTGCACAGAGAAATCGTGCGGTGGTTTTGGACTATACAACAGGGGACACATTATACAGCAATTGTTTTTCATATAGCCTGTATATGTTCTGCGGAATCTGCATTAAACTGTATCTTCCAAAGTACTGAACGGATCTGGGTGAATTTTGGATACAGTAAAAAGTATCACAGCAATAATAGTGCTGTTTGTGTGTGAAAAATGCAAAAAAGTCACTTTTACTGGCGATATCGTTGTAATACATTTTACTGTTTTGAAACACTAATATTTGTGTTCAGCAGTCTCCCGAGTAGAACAGTACCTCCCATGTACAGGTTTTATGGTGTCTTGGAACGTTATAGGGTTAAATATAGTGCTAGCAAATTAAATTCCCTTTACTTTCGGCATGGGTTGTCAGGCAGGTCCCGCTAATTGTAATTAATTAAGATACCTAATTATGTAAAAATATTACATAAATATATATGTAGAAATAATATATGTATATATATATATACGTGTGTATATATGTATATATATATATATATATATATAATTTTTTAAAAATATTTTTATTTATATATAGATATATATAGTGATATATATGTGTATATTTATGTATATAGATATATATATTTTGTTCTATGTGTATTTTGATATAAATATATATATATATTAATATCACAATACAATATCACAATACAGTTAGAACTAAATAAAACATATCTATATATATTTTAATTATTTTATTTATTTGATTTTTTTCAATTTGACAATTTTTTATTTTGACATATTTCAAAACAGTATAAGGGGGGGTACAGAAATAAAAAGGGGGAGGGGGTACAAACGGTAGTGCTTACATAGACAGGTCTCCACTTTTAGTATTGTTAACAGTTCGTAACTTTTTCATTCTAGAACCTTTTATCAGATTTAGCTTGGAAATGTCCTCTACTTAGGTGTAAGACTGAAAGCATGAAACTGTTGGGTAGGGAGGGGGTTCCAGAACGGAAGGGGGAGGGGTTGAGAGGGGGTCCATATCATACCTGTAACTCAGGGTTTACAGTCACCGTTATTAGGATTCCTTAATTATGTCTCGTACCTACGTACACCCTGTGTCTTCCTACAATCAGCAGGTTTTTGTCTACTCTTGAGGTTCTGTTACTTCTCGCTTGGTTATCTATCCTTGTCTAGAGGTTGTCTTTTGGGGCTTATTGTTTCTGGTGGTTTGGTTGTCTGGGGTCTCTCTTCCCATAACCTTCATGCTTCCATGGCCGTATCTGTCATGGGGAGAACCCCTCTATAACGGGATTCGTATATTTGTTATGTGTCAATGTCCCTGCACACCTCCTCTACCCGTGGTGGCCTACGTTTCTTCCATAGTCTGGCTATTGCTCTCTGGGCTGTCAAGAGGATGTGAAAGGTCTGCACCTCTTTAGGTGTGTTGTCTGGCATGTGTAGCAGAAGGTATGCTAGGGGTGTGTATGGGAGCTTAACTTGTGTAGTGTCTCGGATCAGGCAGCCAATTTCTTGCCAGAAGCTGGTTAGCTGGTCGCATTGCCACCAGGTGTGTAGTACTGTTCCCTCCTCTTTCCCACATCGCCAGCACTCTGGGGGGGAGCCCGGGTATAGCTTATGTAGCCGAGTTGGTACCATGTACCACCTATATAGGGTTTTCCTGTACTGTTCCAGGAGGGTCTCTGACTTGACTAGTTTTGCGGTTGCTACTATGGCACGTTCCCAGTGGTCCTTGCTTACGTGGCCTTGTAGGTCTTGTGCCCATTGCCTGGCCGGGTTAGAGTCTGCAAAGTGTTGTGCGGGTCTGAGAAGCTGGTAACACCAGGAGAGCGGTTTAAATGCTGGTGTCCATGCACCTTTGGTGGTCTTTTGTTCCCATGCTGTCATACTGGGGGGACTTCCATCTGTGGTGGGAGTTTTATCTGTATGTTTATGGAGGAACGATCTTAGTTGCATGTGGGAGAATTGTGAGGCCGCTGGTATATGGTATTTTTCCCAGGGTTCGAGTCCTGCAGGAACGCGTGGGAACGGCGTTCCTGCACTTTTTTCACAGCAGGAACGCCGTTCCCACTGCAGGCACTCAGGGGGCGGCAACAAATGCCGCCCCCAAATGCCCCCCCTTGTTTCCTCTGTCATGGGTGGGCCACCTGATGGATTGCCCCGGCGCATGGCTCTCTCCCTGTCACACGCGGAGAGGGAGCTGTGTGCTCTCTGCTCCCTCTCGCCGTGCGGGATGTCTGCTGATGCTGGGAGCTGGAATATGACGTCATCAACCCGGCTCCCAGCATCAGCAGACATCCCGCGCGGCGAGAGGGAGCAGAGAGCACACAGCTCCCTCTCCGCGTGTGACAGGGAGAGAGCCGTCCTCACTGCAGCCCCACTGGACCCCAGGGAAAGGTAGGGATGCTGGGTGGGTGGGAAATGTTAATTTTTTTACATTATTATTAATTTGTATATATGTATGTCTGTTTGTGGATGTCTGTTTGTGGATGTGTGGATGTCTGTTTGTGGATGTCTGTTTGTGGATGTGTGGATGTCTGTTTGTGAATGTGTGGATGTCTGTTTGGGGATGTGGATGTCTGTTTGTGGATGTGTGGATGTCTGTTTGTGGATGTGTGGATGTCTGTTTGTGGATGTCTGTTTGTGGATGTCTGTGGATGTGTGGATGTCTGTTTGTGGATGTGTGGATGTCTGTTTGTGGATGTGTGGATGTCTGTATATGTGTGGATGTCTGTGTATGTGTGGATGTCTGTGTATGTGTGGATGTCTGTGTATGTGTGGATGTGGATGTCTGTTTGTGGATGTGTGGATGTGGATGTCTGTTTGTGGATGTGTGGATGTCTGTTTGTGGATGTCTGTTTGTGGATGTCTGTTTGTGGATGTCTGTTTGTGGATGTCTGTTTGTGGATGTCTGTTTGTGGATGTGTGGATGTGGATGTGTGGATGTGGATGTCTGTTTGTGGATGTCTGTTTGTGGATGTCTGTTTGTGGATGTCTGTTTGTGGATGTCTGTTTGTGGATGTCTGTGTGTGGATGTCTGTGTGTGGATGTCTGTGTGTGGATGTCTGTTTGTGGATGTGTGGATGTCTGTTTGTGGATGTCTGTTTGTGGATGTCTGTGTATGTGTGGATGTCTGTTTGTGGATGTCTGTTTGTGTATGTGTGAATGTCTGTTTGTGGATGTCTGTTTGTGTATGTGTGGATGTCTGTTTGTGGATGTCTGTTTGTGGATGTGTGGATGTCTGTTTGTGGATGTCTGTGGATGTGTGGATGTCTGTTTGTGGATGTGTGGATGTCTGTTTGTGGATGTGTGGATGTCTGTTTGTGTATAGTTTGTGGATGTCTGTTTGTGGACGTCTGTCTGTGGATGTCTGTCTGTGGATGTCTCTGTGGATGTCTGTTTGTCTCAGTGTGTGTAGGAGTGTATTTATGTCTGTTAGCGTTTGTACGTGTGTATGTGAGTGTATGTGCTTCTGTTAGTGTATGCATGTGTATGTTTGCAATTGCATGTATGTGCATACGTTATTGTAAGTTTCTGTCAAATAAGTGAGAGTCTGTCATTTAGTGTGTGTGTTACTATTAGTGTGTGTCTCTCTGTCAATGAATGAGTGTGTGTCAGTGAATGTGTGTGTCAAATCAGTGAAGTCTGTGTGTTTGTCATTGAATGTGTGTGTTACTGTCAGTGTGTATCTGCCAGTGCGGGTGTCTGTCAGAGAGTGTGCTTAAAGGGACACTATAGGCACCCAGACTACTTCAGCTCCTTGAAGTGGTCTGGGTGCAGTGTCCCAGTCTCCTTAAACCTTCTCAGAAACTGCAATAATTACCTGAGGGGTAACTCCAAGTCTAGTGGCTGTCTATCAGACAGCCACTAGAGGGACTTTCGGGTGGTTAGGTGACCAAAAGTCACCTAACTGATGCTGGACGTCCTCACCCTGTGCATGAGGACATCCATCATCTGCTAAATACCCATAGGATTTTAACCCCTTCAGTGTCGAGTGGGGGAGGGGAGGACATGAGAGGAGGGGGGCACTATATGGAATTATAGTGCCAGGAAAACAACTTTGTTTTCCTGGCACTATAGTATTTCTTTAAAAGGAGCAGGAAAAGGTGGAGTCTAAAGAGGAAGGGGTGGGTTCTTAATCAGGAAGTGGTGCACCCTTGACATGAAGGAGTGGTACATTTAGATTAGGGGGGTGCTCTATAGTCATGTCTAGGGCAGCATAAAATTAAAATACACCACTGTGTGAGTGTATGTGTGTGTGCACGCGTGTGTATCTGTGTATGTGTATATATATATATATATATATATATATATATATACATATACATACACACACACATACATACATACATACATATATATACATACACATACATACAAGTGTTTTGGGGTTTTTTTTGGGAGAGTTCCCACACTTTTTTCCCCAGGACTTGACTCCTGATTTTTCCTGTAAGGTCGGAAAGGGTTTGAGCTTATTGGATGTGAGCAATTGGTGCAGGTGCGTGACCCCGTTGGTTATCCACGGCTTGGCATTAAATGTTGGGATACAATACGTGGTAGTGTTAAGCGGGGTGGCTGGAGATAGTGGAGTAGGGGTTGTCAGTTTATGCCTAACCTTGTCCCAAACCTTCAATGCTGTTTTGACCTGTGTTGGTAGCTGTGGCACTGCTGGCCTGAACTGAGTCGGGAGCCACATTAATGTGGGTATGTCAAAGGGCTTAATAGCTATTTTCTCTAGTCGCACCCACTGCGGTGCAGTCGTGTTTGTGAAGTGGGGAAGGAGTGCTGCTAGTGCAGCTGCTTGGTAGTACGACTTAATGTCTGGCAATGCGAGGCCTCCCTGTCTCGCTGGTGCTCGTATTAGTGTGTCCCGTACCCGGGCCTTTTGGCCCCCCCACACGAACTTGTTAATGTCCTTCTGTGTTTCTCTGAGGTAAGAGGCGGGTACCTGTATCGGTAAATTGCGAAATAAGTATTGGAGCCTAGGGATTATGGACATCTTGACGGTTGCTACTCTCTCTGTCCAGGTCAGGAACAATGTGCCCCATTTTTTCATTAGCTGGCGACATTCCCCCCATACTTTAACATAATTGGCCGAAAGTGTTTCCGTGGGTTTTTTTGTGAAGGTTAGTCCTAGGTATTTTATTGTGTCTGTTCTCCATTCGAAAAGGTGGGTCTCCTTGAGAGCAATCAGGGTTTGTTGGCTAAGCCGTATTCCCAGCGCCTGCGTCTTGTTGGCATTGAGAGAGTAATATGACATCGTGCCATATTCTCTGATGAGGTCTAAAATGAGTGGGGTCGATTTTTCAGGTTCGGTAACACAGATAAGGATGTCATCTGCGAATGCGCTGATTTTGATGTCCCTACCATACAGGTCTATTCCTTTAATACCCTTCTGGTTCCTGATTTGGATCAGAAGCGGTTCTAGGGCCAGGACATACAATAGTGGTAATAGAGGGCACCCTTGTCGTGTACCATTCGTTAGGGGGAATGGATCCGAGAGGAAGCCGGCTTGCAGCACCCGGGCCGTGGGACCTGTGTATAGGGCGAAGATCTGTTTAATAAATTCGGTGGGGATATCATATTGTAGAAGCGTGTGTTCAAGGAATGACCAGTTTAGACGGTCAAACGCCTTTTCGGCATCTAAGGCTAGTAGGAGCCTGCCCTGTCCTGATCCCCTCAGTTTATCTAGCACCAAGGAGAGCTTTCTAGTATTGCCCCTGCCCTGCCTGCTCTTGATGAATCCTGTTTGGTCATCCCCTATGATGGTTGGAAGAATATGTGCCAATCTATTGGCTAAGATCTTAGCGTATATCTTCGTATCGGTGTTGAGAAGGGAAATAGGTCGAAAGTTTTTGCAGTTATCTGTAGGTTTATCTGGTTTTGGGAGTGTTACTATTGTGGCCACCAGCATTTCGGATGGGAGGGCTCCTGTTTCTGCTGCCTTGAGGTGTTAGTGTATCTATGAAAGCTTTATAATAAGCGTTCGAGAAGCCATCTGTGCCCGGGGATTTGCCCAGGGGCAGAGTCTTAATTACCCCCCGGATCTCCTGTATGGTGATCGGTTCCAGCAGGGCGTTCACTGAGTTCTGATCTATTTTAGGGAGTTCTATATCTTGTAAGTATCTACGAATAGAGTGTGATTCCGGGGCTTTTGCGCCTCCGCTTGAATCTAGGTTGTATAGCTGTTTGTAGAAGTGTGCAAATTCCTGCACTATGTCCGCGGGGTTCATGAGCTTATCTCCTGTGCGTCCTATGAGATATGGGATTCTATTGGCGGCCTGTCTGGTTCTGAGTCTATTGGCCAGGTATTTGGATGCCTTGCCACTGTGGTGGTATGTGGTGGCCCTCAGTCTGTGTAGGAAATATTGGGTCTTTTGGGCATTGAGTTCCGTGAGATCTCGGTATAGGTCTCTTAACTTGTCTGCTAAGGCCGCGGTGGGCGTCTTTTTATTCTGTGCTGTGGTGATCGCTATTTGTTTGTGACAGTCTAGGAGGGTGGTTTGGTGGCTTTTCTTTATGAACGCTGCTTGTCTAATGAACTATCCCCTCATCACCGCTTTGTGTGCGGACCATACTGTGCAGTCTGAGACCTCTCCTGTTGAGTTTGCCAGGAAATATTCGCTAAGTTCTGTCCTCATACGTTCTACGAATGGTTTGTCTAGGAGGAGAGACTCGTTGAGTCTCCATGTACCCCTGCCCTGGGGTTGGTACGTGTCCTCTAGGTCAAGATAGATCGGGCTATGATCTGATCATGTTAACTCTCCTATTTTACAGTTTGTCAGTTGTGGTAGGGTCTTGTTGTCTAAGAAGAATGTGTCTATACGTGTATAGGAGTTGTGAACCCTGGAGTAAAAAGTGTAGTCCCGGTCTGTAGGGTGTAACGTCCTCCAGCTGTCATATAAGTTGTACAGAGTCAATGTGTTGGTGAGGGTTTTGCAGAGGGCTTGAGTCCTTTTTTTGTGTTTTCCCTGCGGCGAGGCGGTGGTATCAAGGGTCGGGGACTGGATGAAGTTGAAGTCTCCTCCTAATATGAGCCCCCCTTGTTTACATGTATCCAGTTTGGACAAGAGTGATTTGAGGAAGGAGTTTTGGTTGTCGTTCGGGAAGTACGCTGTGCTTATGGTGTATTGTATATTGTTGAAGAGCCCCACCATTATGATATATCTCCCTTTAGGGTCTATGTAGCTGCTTTGCAGAGTAAAGGCGACATCCTTATGTATTAAGACGGAAACCCCTTTTGTCTTTGCGTCTGATAGGGCATGGTACTGTATAGGGTACAGTTTTGTAAAAAGTGATGGGGCTATGGGGTGTCTAAAGTGTGTTTCTCTACTGCGTTTTTCTTGAGTTCGTGTAAGAGCAATCTGCGTTTTCCAGGGGAATTTAGCCCTCTAACGTTGTATGACACTATTCTCATTCTGGTGAGTTTTTGTCAGGTAAAACTAGTTTTGATATCCGTGTAGGTAGGATTACACCCTTTTTTTCTCGTGGGCAGTATTTCCGTACGTGTCGTCGTGTAACAGTTCAGTGCGAGTGCCTATTACAAGAGAAGATATGGAGTCAGGAAAGGGGCGGGGTATGGTCAACCTTAACTGTTGGCCTAGTGTAGTGCACTCCGTGGTTGAGGGAAAGGGGGGGGGGGAAAGGAGGGCAAGGCCCTATGAGGCTCCTCTGAGTCGAGCTGTTTTCCGGCGCCCCTGGGGCGCCTGCAGTTTAGGGGGTTGGTGAACTTGGGACTTCCCGTTGAGGTATATGTCCCTGTCAGCCCACACACACACACACCCTGGGGCACAATGGGTGCTGATGCGGTTAACTTATGGTACTGTTACTTTACTTTTTTTTTTTTTTTTTCATCTTCAACAACCTGTGAGTCTCCGGTGTCCTGACTCCCCTTCCCGTGGTGATTGGGCAGTGTCATGATCTAACCGAGAATACTTCTCGTTGTGTGCCTGTCGGGTCTGAGTGGGAGGAGGTCGGGGGGGGGCCCCGGTGATTACCCTTGCATGTCTCAAGTGAAACAATCGGTTAAGAAAGCATAAGATTACATAACAATAAGTATAACAACATAACTGGTAACTTGATTGTGCGTCTTACGTATACCGCTCAAGTATGGAGTTCCTTTAACGGGATGCCCAGTCCTGGGCCAGGCGGGGAGATTTCGTCAGGCCCGAGTTTGGCAATTCGGCCAATGGGATACCCCAGTCTCTAAGCAGCTTTATTCCTTGCGGCGCTGATGTGATGGAGTGGAGGGAATCTTGGTGATATATTAGCAGCTTAGCCGGATATCCCCACCTGTAGTTTAGTCCCTGGTTTCGCAGTGACAACGTGACTTGTGCCACGGATTTGCGGTACTGTAGGGTCTCTGCCGAGAGATCGGAAAAGATTTTTATATTAGCGAATCTCTCTGGCATTCCTCTGTTCCTGCTTGCCTTGATAATTTTTTCTTTGGCCTGAAAGAAGTGCACTCTTGCTATGACGTCTCTCGCAGCCGTGTTGGGTAGGTGACTGGGTCTTCTGAGTCGGTGCGCTCTGTCTAGCAGCAGTTGGTCTGGGTGCAGTTCGGGGGTCATCTGCTGGAACATGTCCTGTAGATATTTTTCTAAGTCAGCATTTGTTACTGGAATACCAGGGCCTTTTGAACACCTGCTAATGTTTTTATAAATGTATGGTTTAGTGTAACTGTGCAACAACGTTGCAATTAAATGTGCTATATAAATAACAGTTACTCCGCCCACTCCAGTTGTAGACTACTGGTGGAGGCAAGAACACTTCACAAAATTTCCCCAGAAATTGTAGCTTTTCTAGTTTTTAAAGTTTTTTCTAAAGGTCATTTTTAAAAACACCTAATCTAGGCAAAAAATAATAGGGTTTAGTTACATTATATGATCATACATTGCATATGCTTGCCAACAATGCCAATGTACCCCATCTTTGTCAGGTCCTACTCTCACAGCCTATGTAAATAACTCACTTACTTGGGGGGACAATTCCATCCGCAGTACAAGGCTAAATAGGGACCTGAGATGCACCCCTCCCCGTTACAGGTGCCTCATCACTGAATGCTAGAATAGATTTTTTAATCTTGAGTGAGAACCCTCTGATGCAATTACCTTGAGGATATTTGTTGCATATGAACTAACTGAGTGGGAACTTTATTTAACAAGAACTTTTTTCAAATACCTTGATGTTATGCAGCCACTACACTAAGAGAATCATATTGTCATTTCCATATAGTTTTGCCCAAATTTGAACAGATTTATAAAAAATATTCATCACTTCCCCCTGGTAACACTCATGTGCTTAGCAGGGGTTAATTCAGACCGACATATAATAACAGCAAGTAATACATGTAACGGCACCCCCAGGCATAAAAGGGTTAAACCACCGTTTAGTAGATCTTCCCCTTCCAGAAATACAGGAACAGCTACTGCACAACACCAAACTCCCGAACCGCATATAAGGGAATGCTCCAAACTCCCGAACTGCATACAAAATAGCACTCCAAACTCCCGAACTGGAACCTCACAAATAGCTGCTAGCAGACGAATAGGAAAAGCACCCAAGCGGCTTACACTCCTAGCAATCAGTCACTATCAGCATAAAGTAAATCTCCCCAAGAACGAGACAGAGCTCCCTGTTGAGGGTCAAGCAGTGGTCCATTGGTTCAAAAGATAGATCGAAGTCCTTTGTGACCAAAGGAAGCATGGCTTTTCTGCCCAAAACCAGTTCCACAGAGTCTTCTATCCTGGAGATAATTGGAAAGTAATCCAATTATCTCCAAGGACAGAGGCAAAACTCCATTAACCACATGGCAGTAAAAGACACTAAAAGACATAAAAATGTATAAAGTTATACATTCTACCTATCCCCAGATAGCGCACATTATTACCGGATGGCGCTCAGATCACATAAATACAGTTCAATCGCCATGGAGCCAAAGTCTTTCCCATAGTCTTTCGTTACACGAATAGGCTCCATGGCATGGCTATCTGGGGTAATTCTGTTCATACGGTTAAACTACCGAATGAACAGGCATCCGGTTAAATGACCGAATGCAGAAGCAAGAAGGTTTTTTAACATGGGACCATAGTCCAATGGCAACAGGCGAGCAACCAGGCTTCTCCAATGTTTCGTGGCGAGGTTGGTTTCGCCTCAATACATAACATAGTAAGGCACAGAAACATAATAAAAAACAGTCAGATGTGTGCTGAAAAGGCTGTGGTCTTTTATTTAGTTTACAAATTATACAAACGTAACTCATTTACTTTAAAACACATAATTTGTAACCAAACATCTCCGGTCTTTAACCCCTTAACGCCGTTACGGCGTTCTATGCCGTCCCGCATTAAGTGGGCTTTAAAGCCGTTGCGGCAGCATAGAACGCCGTAACGGCTTTGAGCGCTGGAGCGCCCGGGATACTTACCTACCCAGCGCTCCGCTTCGGGAGGACTGCCTCACAGCCTAGACAGCCCTCCCACAGCAAATGAGGCCCCCGGGGGCCATGTGATCGCTCTCAAAGAGCGATCACATGGCCCCCTATACCTGGCTGTGGATCTGCTGGTGGGAAAGTAAATAAAAAATGAAACATGTTATAAAATAAAATAGATATATTTATTATTTTATTATTTTATTTATTTATTATTGTAATTATACGTATATATAATATATGTGTCTATATCTATTATATATATATATATAATATATATACTATATAATATATATACATATTATATATATGTAACGTCATACATAGTGTATTTTAATATTAATATTAAAAGCACATTTATTAGTATTAAAATACACTTAGAATGACGTTACATATATATAATATGTATATATATTATATATATAATAGATATATACACATATTATATATATAAGTATAATTACAATAATAAAATTAATAAATAAAATATTGAAACAAAATTTAATATAACTTACCGTATATACTCGAGTATAAGCCGACCCGAATATAAGCCGAGGCCCCTAATTTTACCACAAAAAAAATGGGAAAACTTATTGACTCGAGTATAAGCCTAGGGTGGGAAATGCAGCAGCTACTGGTAAATTTCTAAATAAAATTACCGGTAGATCCCAATAAAATTACATTAATTGAATATTTATTTACAGTGTGTGTATAGAATGAATGCAGAGTGTGTGTTTGTGTGTATAGAATGAATGCAGAGTGTGTGTTTGTGTGTTGTGTGTGTATATAATGAATGCAGAGTGTGTTTGTGTGTGTATATATAATGAATGCAGTTTGTGTGTGTGTATATAATGAATGCAGTGTGTATATAGTGCAGTGTGTGTAAACTGGGTGAGGGGAGGGCATTTTTATTTTAATTTTTTTATTATATTATTTTAATAATATTATTTTATTATTATATTATTATTTTAATATTATATCATTTTAATAACATTATTTTATTTATTATTTTAATATTTGCATTATTTTTTTTAAAATGTTTTTTTGTCCAACCTCCCTGCTTGTTGCCTGGCCAGGGAGGGGGGACAAAAAAAAAATAATACAAATATTAAAATAATAATGATATACTAATAAAATAATATTATTATTTTAATATTATATTATTTTAATATTATATTATTATTATTTTAATATTTGCATTATCTTTTTTTTAAATGTTTTTTTGTCCCCCCTCCCTGGCCAGGTAACAAGCAGGGAGGGGGGACAAAAAACATTTTAAAAAAAATAATGCAAATATTAAAATAATAATATAATAAAATAATATTATTTTAATATGATATTATTTTAATAATATTAGTTTATTATTATTAAAATAAAATAATATTAAAATAATACTGAATCCCTGGTGGTCCAGTGGCATTGGCTGTTCAGTGGGGGGGCTGGCGGCGAGCTGTTACTTACCTTCCTGCAGCTCCCTTCTCCTCCGTGCAGCTCCTCTGTCAGCTCCGTTCTGCTCACAGTGTAAGTCTCGTAAGATCCGCGGATCTCGCGAGACTTACACTGTAAGCAGAACGGAGCTGCACGGAGGAGAAGGGAGCTGACAGGAGCTGCAGGAAGGTAAGTAACAGCTCACTGTCAGCCCCCCCTTGTAATGAGCCCGGCGGTCCTGGTCTGTATTGTGGTGTATCGAGTATAAGCCGAGTGGGGGTTTTTCAGCACAAAAAATGTGCCGAAAAACTCGGCTTATACTCGAGTATATACGGTGTATATTCATATGTAATTTCATTCTAACTGTATTTTGTTATTAATATATATATATATATATATATACATATATATATATATATATATATGTAACAAAATACTTAGAATGACATTCTATATATATCTATCTATATATAACATACAAATAACCGCAAATATATATAGATAAATACATATAATTACATAAAAGATTACATTAGTATACACGTAGAATTTAAATACCTATAAATGCATATATATTAAAATTCGACGTGTATATTTAACCCCTTAACCCCTTAAGGACCGAGGACGGTTCAGGACCGTCATCGGCATTTTTGCGTTGCCGACCGATGACGGTCCTGAACCGTCCAAACGGTCTGGGGCTACTTACCTGATCGCCGTCGTTCCCCCGGCGGCGATCAGTGTTCCTCCGGTTGTGGGGAGACTGCCTGCAGCCCAGACAGTCTCCCCACGGCAGATTATGACCCCTGTGGCCATGTGATCGCTTAACACAGCGATCACATGGTCACAATAGGTGTCCATAGTGCTGCCTGCAGGGGGACTGTCTGTACTGACAGGCAGTCTCCCTGCAACTGTAAAATCAGAAAAAAAATTAAAGTTAATGGTAATAAAAAAATAATAATAATTATATATGTATAAATATGATATATAGACATATATTATATCTATATAATATATGTCTATATATCATATATATAATACCATACTAAGTGTATTTTTATATTAATATGTACTTATATTAAAATAAAAATACACTTATAATTAAATTACACACGTATATATATAATATATATAATAACTATATATATTGTATATATATATTATTATAAAATATAAATAATAAGTAATTTAAATTAAATAATTTTTTTTAAATAATAATAAAAAAAATTTAAAAAATTATATAGCTATATGAAATTTTATTCTAACTGTATTTTAAAATTAATATATATATATTTATATCAAAATACACTTAGAATGAATTTGTATATATATCTATGTATATAAAAATAAATAAAAATAATAAGAAATATACATACGTCCATATACAAAATTACATAAATAATTATATAAATATACACGTAGACTTCAAATATATAAATATGCATATATATTTAAATTCTACGTGCGTATTTATGTAATATTTTTACATAATTCAGTAATTTTATTGATTGCAATTTGAGGGACCTGCCTGCCAACCCAGGCCGAAATTCCAGAGAATTTAATTTGCTAGCACTGTATTTTACCCTGTAACGTTCTACGACACCCTAAAACCTGTACATGGGGGGTACTGTTTTACTCGGGAGACTTCACTGAACACAAATATTAGTGATTCACAACAGTAAAACATATCACAGTGATGATATTGTCAGTGAAAGTTACTTTTTTTGCATTTTTCACACACAAACAGCACTTTTACTGATGATATAATTGTTGCGATACGTTTTCCAGTTTTAAACACTAATATTTGTGTTCAGCGATGTCTCCCGAGTAAACAGTACCCCCCATGTACAGGTTTTATAGCATTTTTGAAAGTTACAAGGTCAAATATATGGGTCAAATATTTTTACATTGAAAATGGCCAGGTTGGTTACGTTGCCTTTGAGAGCGTATGGTAGCCCAGGAATGAGAATTACCCCCATGATGGCATACCATTTGCAAAAGAAGACAACCCAAGGTATTGCAAATGGGGTATGTCCAGTCTTTTTTAGTAACCACTTGGTCACAAACACTGGCCAAAATTAGCGTTCAATTTAGTTTTTTTACTTTTTTCACACACAAACAAATATGAATGCTTACTTTGGCCAGTGTTTTCGACTAAGTGGCTACTAAAAAAGACTGGACATACCCCATATTGAATACCCTGGGTTGTCTACTTTAAAAAAAATATGTACATGTGGGGTGTTATTCAGAGATTTATGACAGATAATAGTGTTACAATGTCACTATTGATAAATTTTAAAAATGTATGTTTTAAACCGCAATATCCTACTTGTACCTATAGCCCTATAACATGCAAAAAAAAGCAAAAAAGCACGTAAACACTAGGTATTTTTAAACTCAGGACAAAATTTTGAATCTATTTAGCAGTTTTTTCATTCGCTTTTGTAGATGAGTAAAAGATTTTTCAAGTAAAAGTCAAAAAACATGTATTTTTTCAATTTTTCATCAGATTTTTGTATTTTTTAAATTAAAATACATGAGATTATATAAATAATGGTATGTAAAGAAAGCCCATTTTGTCCTGAAAAAAACAATATATAATTTGTATGGGAACAGTAAATGAGAAAGCGGAAAATTACAGCCAAACACAAACACCACAAAAGTGTAAAAATATTCCTGGTCGCAAATGTACAACATCGCAAAAACAGTCCAGTCCTTAAGGGGTTAAGGACTGTGACAAATGTACACCTTGTTACGAAACAAAATGTAAACAAAACCTGGCATTTGCGCTACATGTCTGTCCAACCGTAATTCACCTCTTTCATAGTAAATGCACCCACCCTTATTATATATCATTTTATTCAGGGGAAACAGGGCTTTCATTTAATATCAAATATTTAGCTATGAAATGTAATTTAATATAAAAAAAAATGGGAGAAAATAAGATTTTTTAAATTTTTTTAGTTCTACATGACATTTTAACTGTCAATGTCATAATACTGTTTGCTTTTACTGCAATAAAATACACATATTTGTATTCAGCAAAGTCTCACGTGTAAAACAGTACCCCCTATGTACAGGTTTTATGGCGTTTTGGGAAGTTACAGGGTCAAATATAGCACGTTACATTTGAAATTGAAATTCGCCAGATTGGTTACGTTGCCTTTGGGACTTTATACAGGGGAGTGCAGAATTATTAGGCAAGTTGTATTTTTGAGGATTAATTTTATTATTGAACAACAACCATGTTCTCAATGAACCCAAAAAACTCATTAATATCAAAGCTGAATATTTTTGGAAGTAGTTTTTAGTTTGTTTTTAGTTTTAGCTATGTTAGGGGGATATCTGTGTGTACAGGTGACTCTTACTGTGCATAATTATTAGGCAACTTAACAAAAACAAATATATACCCATTTCAATTATTTATTATTACCAGTGAAACCAATATAACATCTCAACATTCACAAATATACATTTCTGACATTCAAAAACAAAACAAAAACAAATCAGTGACCAATATAGCCACCTTTCTTTGCAAGGACACTCAAAAGCCTGCCATCCATGGATTCTGTCAGTGTTTTGTGTGCTGCGTGCAGCAGCAACCACAGCCTCCCAGACACTGTTCAGAGAGGTGTACTGTTTTCCCTCCTTGTAATTCTCACATTTGATGATGGACCACAGGTTCTCAATGGGGTTCAGATCAGGTGAACAAGGAGGCCATGTCATTAGATTTCCTTCTTTTATACCCTTTCTTGCCAGCCACGCTGTGGAGTACTTGGACGCGTGTGATGGAGCATTGTCCTGCATGAAAATCATGTTTTTCTTGAAGGATGCAGACTTCTTCCTGTACCACTGCTTGAAGAAGGTGTCTTCCAGGAACTGGCAGTAGGACTGGGAGTTGAGCTTGACTCCATCCTCAACCCGAAAAGGCCCCACAAGCTCATCTTTGATGATACCAGCCCAAACCAGTACTCCACCTCCACCTTGCTGGCGTCTGAGTCGGACTGGAGCTCTCTGCCCTTTACCAATCCAGCCACGGGCCCATCCATCTGGCCCATCAAGACTCACTCTCATTTCATCAGTCCATAAAACCTTAGAAAAATCAGTCTTGAGATATTTCTTGGCCCAGTCTTGACGTTTCAGCTTGTGTGTCTTGTTCAGTGGTGGTCGTCTTTCAGCCTTTCTTACCTTGGCCATGTCTCTGAGTATTGCACACCTTGTGCTTTTGGGCACTCCAGTGATGTTGCAGCTCTGAAATATGGCCAAACTGGTGGCAAGTGGCATCGTGGCAGCTGCACGCTTGACTTTTCTCAGTTCATGGGCAGTTATTTTGCGCCTTGGTTTTTCCACACGCTTCTTGCGACCCTGTTGACTATTTTGAATGAAACGCTTGATTGTTCGATGATCACGCTTCAGAAGCTTTGCAATTTTAAGAGTGCTGCATCCCTCTGCAAGATACCTCACTATTTTTGACTTTTCTGAGCCTGTCAAGTCCTTCTTTTGACCCATTTTGCCAAAGGAAAGGAAGTTGCCTAATAATTATGCACACCTGATATAGGGTGTTGATGTCATTAGACCACACCCTTCTCATTACAGAGATGCACATCACCTAATATGCTTAATTGGTAGTAGGCTTTCGAGCCTATACAGCTTGGAGTAAGACAACATGCATAAAGAGGATGATGTGGTCAAAATACTCATTTGCCTAATAATTCTGCACTCCCTGTAGTAGCCCAGGGATGAAATTTACACCCATAATAGCATACCATTTACAATAGTAGACAACCCAAGGTATTGCAAATGGGGTATGTCCAGTCTTTTTTAGTAGCCATTTGGTCACAAACACTGGCCAAAGTTAGCGTTAGTATTTGTTTGTGTGAAAAATGCAAAAAACACCAATTTTGGCCAGTGTTGACTAAGTGGCTACTAAAAAAGACTGGACATAAAAAAGACTGGACATACCCCGTTTGCAATACCTTGGGTTGTCTACTATTGCAAATGGTATGCCATCATAGGGGTAATTTTCATTCTTGGGCTACCATAGGGTCTCAAAGGCACCGTAACCAATCTGGCGAATTTTAATGTGAAAAAAATGAAACGCAAGCCTTATATTTGACGCTGTAACTTTTGAAAACACCATAAAACCTGTACATGAGGGGTACTGTTGTACTTGGGAGACTTCGCTGAACACAAATTTTTAATTAATTTTTTTAAATTATTTTTTTAATTGTATTTTTTAACGTATTTACATTTTTTTTTATATTATATATAAATATATATATAACAATAATTATATATATATATATATATATATTTAATCAGTATCAGTCTACGTGTAATTTGATATTAATATATATATTAATAGTAAAATACACCTAGACAGTGTATGTGAGTGTATGTATATTTGTATATATATATACTTAGATCATATATATAATATATTTATATGATCTAAGTATATATATTTTTTTTTTTACACAAATTTTATTTTATTTTATTTTCAGCCAGCAGGGGGACCACCTGTCATTACAGGCAGCCCCCCTGCTAGCAATGCAGGAGTCAGCCTACCCGGCCATGTGATTGTGGGGTCCTCGCTAGGACCCCACTCTCACATGGCCGGGGGTCACCGGAGGAGAAGGATCTGCCGTGGATAAGTTAACAAAAACCAGAGGGCGTACAATTACGCCCGGCTGCGTTTAGAGCCGCCTAAAATAGGGCGTAATTGTACGTCCTCCGGTCTAAAGGGGTTAAGTAATCTTTTAACATAATTATGTGATTTGATTAATTAAAATTTGATTGACATGCCTGACAACACAGGGAGAAAGTCCGGTCTTTCTTTACTTACCTGGTCGCCGGCGATCGCGGTTGGGGGGGCATCCGTCCTCCTGAAGCCCCCCCCCGGCCATGTGGGAGTGAGGTCCTTGCGAGAACCTCACAATCACATGGCCAGGATAGCTGGCTGCTGCATTGCCAGCAGGGGGGCTGTCTGTAATGACAGGTAGTCCCCCTGCTGGCTGGAAATAAAATAAATGAAAGTTAATAAAGTGTAAAAAAAAAAAAATTCTATATTTAGCTCATATATATATGTTATATATATATGAGCTAAGTATATATATACACATACACACACATATACTGTCTAGGTGTATTTTACTATTAATATATATATATAATTATATATAAAAAATCCAAATGGATGGTTGCACTTTTTGAATAAAAGTGCAAAGTTTATTGTAAAGTCATAAAAAACTGCGATCAACGTTTCAGTCCTTCCAAGAGGACTTTCATCAGGATTATAATTATATATATATATATTAATATCAAGTTACACGTAGACTGATACTGATTAAATATATATATATATAATTATTATATATATATTTATATATAATAAAAAAAATGTAAATACGTTAAATAAAAAAAAATTTAAAATAAATAATTAAAAAATATATAGATATGTGTTATTTCGTTCTAACTGTATTGTGATATTAATATATATATATTTATATCAAAATACAGGTAGAACAAAATAATATATATATCTATATACATAAATATATACTTATATATATCACTATATATATACCTATATATAAATAAAAATATTTAAAAAAAATTATATATATATATATATATATATTAATTCTACATACATATTTATGTAATATTTTTACATAATTAGGTATCTTAATTAATTACAAATAGTGGGACCTGCCTGACAACCCATGCCGAAAGGAAAGGGAATTTAATTTGCTAGCACTATATTTAACCCTATAACTTTCCAAGACACCATAAAACCTGTACATGGGGGGTACTGTTCTACTCGGGAGACTTCGCTGAACACAAATATTAGTATTTCAAAACAGTAAAATGTATTACAACGATGATATCGCCAAATAATTATTTCAGACCAAATAATTAGCGAGTCCGGGAACATTTGCTTAAAGGGACACTATAGTCACCTGATCAACTTTAGCTTAATGAAGCAGTTTTGGTGTATAGAACATGCCCCTGCAGCCTCACTGCTCAATCCTCTGCCATTTAGGAGTTAAATCCCTTTGTTTATGAACCCTAGTCACACCTCCCTGCATGTGACTTGCACAGCCTTCCATAAACACTTCATGTAAAGAGAACCCTGTTTAGGCTTTCTTTATTGCAAGTTCTGTTTAATTAGGATTTTCTTATCTCCTGCTATGTTAATAGCTTGCTAGACCCTGCAAGAGCCTCCTGTATGTGATTAAAGTTCAATTTAGAGATTGAGATACAATTATTTAAGGTAAATTACATCTGTTTGAAAGTGAAACCAGTTTTTTTTTCATGCAGGCTCTGTCAATCATAGCCAGGGGAGGTGTGGCTAGGGCTGCATAAACAGAAACAAAGTGATTTAACTCCTAAATGACAGTGAATTGAGCAGTGAAATTGCAGGGGAATGATCTATACACGAAAACTGCTTTATTTAGCTAAAGTAATTTCCTTTAAAATGAAAAACATCCTCCTTAAGTTGCTGAAACAAAACCACTGGCTTAAACTTAAAGAATCACTATAGTCAACATATAAAAGCAAAAAAGACATGTCCCCCAGCCTTGTTTTTTGATTTTATATGAACTTGACATTTAAAAAAAAAATATCAGAGCCCTTTTTTTTAATAAATCTTACCTCTGTTCCATGCCATGCCCCCTTTTTTTGTAAAAATGCCGAACTTGCAGGGCCCAATAGGACGCTTCTTGCTGCACCGTCATTGCGATGTGGTGTGCATGCACGGTTTCGTGCTGCACCAATCGCCTTCTTCATAGAGCGGCATTGAATGCCGCCCTATGATTAAACTCTGCACTCAACCACACATGTGCGCAAAGTGTGCGTTCGCTGGCTGAGCTATCTGACTGATAGCTCAGCTTGCTTTCTATACCCGCCCCCCACCTATGGCAGCCCTCCTCAGCCAAACTTTGTGTGTTTGCATAAAAACACTATATAGAGAGATCTCTCTATATATAGTGTTTGTATACAAACACACAAATAGTAAAAAATTAAAAATATACACACACTCTCTTTCCATCCATCCCTATCCATCAATATCCATTCATCCCCATCCATCCATCCCCATCCATCCATCCATATCCCCATCCATCTATCCATCCCCCTCCATCCATCCCTATCTATCCATCCATCCCCAGCCACATCTATCCATCCATATCCATCCGATGGATGGATGGAGAGGGATGGATGGATGGAGCGGGATGGAGAGGGATGGGTGGATGGATAGGGAGGGATGGGTGGATGGATAGGGAGGGATGGATGAATAGGGAGGGAGGGATGGATGAATAGGGAGGGAGGGATGGATGAATAGGGAGGGAGGGATGGATGGATAGGGAGGGATAGATGGATAGGGAGGGAGGGATGGAAGGATAGGAAGGGTCACTCACTCACTAGCCCACACTCAGTCACCCGCCCACAATCACTCACCAACCCACACTCACTCAACCGCCAACACACTCACCCACACTCACAATCACTGTCACCCGCCCACACTCACAATCACTCACTAACCCACACTGTCACCCGCTCACACTCACAATCACTCATTCACTAACCCACACTCAGTCACCTCACTCACTAACCCACACTCAGTCACCCGCCCACACTCACAATCACTCACTAACCCACACTGTCACCCGCTCACACTCACAATCACTCATTCACTAACCCACACTTAGTCACCTGCGCAGCCTCAAAATCACTCACTCACTAACCCACACTCAGTCACCCGCCCACACTCACAATCACTCACTAACCCACACTGTCACCCGCTCACACTCACAATCACTCATTCACTAACCCACACTTAGTCACCTGCGCAGCCTCAAAATCACTCACTCACTAACCCACACTCAGTCACCCGCCCACACTTACACTCACTCACTAACCCACACTCGGCCCCACTCACAATCACTCAGTCACCCGGCCACACTCAGAATCACTTACTAACCCACACTCACTCACCAACCCAAACTCACCCCAACTCACAATCACTCAGTCACCCACCCACCCACACTCAATCACGCACTCAGCAGCCCACACTCACAATCACTCACTAACACACACTCAGTCACTAACCCACACTCACACTCAGTCACTAACCCACACTCAGTCTCTCACTCAGTCTCACTCGCACACTCAGTCTCTCTCACACACTCAGTCTCTCACACTAACTGTCTCTCACTCACTGTCTCTCACTCACACCCTCTCTCACACTCAATCTAGATTTTTAAAATAAGTGTCCTTACAGTTTGAAGTCAGGAGATCTCTGCATTCTTCTTCCTTCAGCCTGTCAGCTCCAGCTGACTCCCACGCGCTGCTGCTGACAGCCTCTGGGAGACAGGGAGCTATAGTTCTCACCTGAGCAACCTCATTAAGCTGAAGTTGTTCAGGTGAGTATAGTGTCCCTTAACTCTGCCCACATCAATCCCACCATAATGAAAAATAATAACCTGTGGCCAAGGAATTTGGCCAAAACAGCTTTGTAAATCTTTAAAAACATCATCCCTTAATAGACCCCTTACACCAACCCAATAAATTAAAGCAGTCTCATTATCAAAACTCAAGTTCTCATATGACCGCTCCACAGCTCTTCTATGTGCCCAGTGGATGAAAGAATGGCCTACTATCCATATAATCACAGATCTCGTATCTGAAACAGAAAGAATCAAGTCATTAAGCTCTAACATAAATATCAAATCTTCTTGAGAACCATCGATCCACTTTCTTAACCAACTCATTCGATAGACCATGTGATACAGCCTCTGTTGCAGCACCTATGCGAAACAAATTAGATGTAATCCATTTGTCATCAATACCCAACCTTTTACATGATAACGGAACTTTTAGAAATTGAAATTTAGAAAGAGGGACCCCTGACTGGTGTATTAAAAGACTACCATGACCCTTTAGATGAATACTTAAATAAACCCTGACTGCCTTAATTGGGCATAACAAATGATGTATAGCTCGTAACTAAACCCATTGACCTTTCCCTTGCTGGTCAGTTTTTTATATTCTTAATAAAAAATGTAAAAGCCCATCTCGTGAATATATGTCTTTAAATTGGATACCTGAATGGCAAGACCTGTTAGCAGAAACTAATTCGCTGATTCTAAAGGCCCCCAAAAATGCTAAAATAAAAGCAGTGGTAAAAATCTGGGTCTCAAATGTATCTCTACAAACGGAACTCAAATTATTTACCAAATCACCCAATAATTGAAAAGAGAGAGGGGACCTGTCATCTTGGACTGGTGCTTTCTCTAACCGAGCCCCTTTTAACATTTGCTGAATAATGAATTCTTTAACAACAGACTTTTTCCCGATACTTTAAGAAGAAAAGAAATACGTAATAAGGCTCTTTTAAATGAAAACTCGGATACACCAGCCTGAATTTTTGTAACAACATATTGAATTGCATCTTGTATAGTGGGATCAGTAGTGTCCCCAGTGGCGTACATACCAGGGTCGCAGGGGTCGCGGCTGCGACCGGGCCCGGCCCTCCAGGGGCCCGGCCGCCCCTGCGACCCGGTATGTAGCCACAGGGCCAGCCTCTTCCCCTGGGGGGCACAGGAGCTGACCACCCCAGGCCCCCCGAGGCTGTCGCGCACCGCACTGATACCGGAGCCGGAAGATGACGTCATCTTCCGGCGCCGGCATCCCTACGCGGCGCGCGAGGGAGCAGAAGAGGAAGCACTGAGTGCTCCTCGCGCGCCCGCCTTCCCGACCGGCCACCCGCCCAGGAGCCCAGCAGCACCACTGGACCCCAGGGAATCCCCCCAGCACTCCAAAAGGTAAGGAGGCTGGGGGGATTACATTAAAAAAAAAAAAACATGTGTTAGTGTTAGTGTTTGAGTGTGTGTGAGTGTTAGTGTGTGTGTGTGTGAGTGTTAGTGTGTGTGTCTGCTAGTTAGTGTGAGTGTTAGTGTGTGTGTCTGCTAGTGAGTGTTAGTGTGTGTGAGTGTTAGAGTGAGTGTTAGTGTGTGTGTCTGCTAGTGAGTGTGTTACTGTGTGTGTCTTACTGAGTGTGTGTTAGTGAGTCTGTTTGATGTCTGTTAGTGAGTGTGTTTGTCAATGAGAGTGTATGTTTTGTAAGTGAGTGTGTATGTATGTCTGTCGCTGAGTGTGTCTCTGTCAGTAAATGTGTGTGTCTGTTAGCTAGTGTGTATGCGTCTGTAAGTGTGTGTGTGTGTGTCTTCAGTACTTACCTTTCTCCAGCGCCGGACTCCCTTGGCGCTGAGGATCCCTCAGCCTCTCAGCTCCGAATGCGACCGCGCACGCATTCAAACCGCCCATAGGAAAGCATTACTCAATGCTTTCCTATGGACGTTCAGTGTGCTCCTCTGGCGGCTGTCAGTGAGACAGCCACTAGAGGCTGGATTAACCCTCAGTGAAACATAGCAGTTTCTCTGAAACTATGTTTTCAGCTGCAGGGTTAAAACTAGAGGGACGTGACACCCAGACAACTTCATTGAGCTGATGTGATCTGGGTGTCTGTAGTGGTCCTTTAAAGGACGACTATAGTGCCAGGAAAACACTGGTTTTCCTGGCACTATAGTGCCCTGAGGGTGCCCCCACCCTCAGGGACCCCCTCCCGCCTGGCTCTGGAAAGGGGAAAAGGGGTAAAACTTACCTTTTTCCAGCGCTGGGTGGAGAGCTCTCCTCCTCCGATCCTCCTCCCTGTCGGCTGTATGCGCACGCGCGGCAAGAGCTGCGCGCATTCAGCCGGTCACATAGGAAAGCATTCATAATGCTTTCCTATGGACGCTGGCGTGCTCTCACTGTGAAAAATCACAGTGAGAAGCACGCAAGCGCCTCTAGCGGCTGTCAATGAGACAGCCGCTAGAGGAAATAGGGGAAGGCTTAACCCATTCAGAAACATAGCAGTTTCTCTGAAACTGCTATGTTTATGAAAAAATAAGTTAACCCTAGCTGGACCTGGCACCCAGACCACTTCATTAAGCTGAAGTGGTCTGGGTGCTTAGAGTGGTCCTTTAAGTGTGTGTGCATCTGCATGCACTGGCGTACATACCGCGGTCGCAGGGGTCGCAGCCTGTAACCTCTGCGACCAGGTGCCCACCGTCATGTGTTGCGGCCCGCATTTTATGACCAATTTGTGCAGAAATCCATATCATTCCAAAGGGTTCACATACTTTTTCTTGCAACTGTAGATGATGAAAAAGGCCACTAGCTTTATCTGCATGACGTTCACAGTAAACACAAGCAAAATACAAAACGCCTGAAGCCAATTATTAAAGGGACGGGGTTCCGGTCATTTCCTGTCCTCATCTCTTTCTTGCCTTAACAAAAATTTCTTAGTGGCTGGCAATATGGAAAGAATATCTATATAGTCATCATTCCATATTTTTTCTTTAATTCAATTAGTTAAAGGAAAACCAAGAGGTGAAGCTTCTCATGTCAAAGCTTTCTTCAAACAAGACTCACTAACAGGCGTACTGCTCTTGTCAGAACGATTAACCAAACTAACCGATGCATGTGAATTTGACATATTCACTCTGTCAAATTGTCTATTCTCTCCGAAGACGCAGTATACAAGGTTCCAGCTTGCTCACCGACTTCAATGGTTGGTATTTGCCCCATTTCAGAAGATTTCTTCTTCCTTTTTCCTGCAGCTTTAGATTTCTTGCACTCGCTGGTGGATGACGGAGAATAAATCACTCTTGATTTACAAATTCTCTTCTTCCTACCCTAAAGTATACTACTGTCACTCAAACATAAAGACATCTGATGCTCCTCCTTTAGCAGCTTCCTCCTCCTCAGGCTCTATAATATCCAATAAAGAATCCTGAGGGCGTGAATCCATTTGAGAGGAAGGGGCAGTCAACAGAAACTGCATGAGCCATTCAGCACTGCTGAATGCCCTCCTCTTAACTTCCTCAATCAAATGCTCCATAGCTCCATATGCTCCATATGCTCCATAGCTATTCTCACACTAAGACTTGCTATGAAAGAAAAACAGCTCTACAGTTAACTTTTTATTTTTTCTTCTGGCGCCAAATATCATCTCAGGGCGTCTAATATATTGCGTTTTTCCCCGCTCCAAAGCGATCCAATCAGAGCACTGTCTACAAGGACCCCTGCATGGAAAGTTCACGAGCGCATTTCGATAGCCGGAACTTATGTTCTCACAACTAATAACGATGCGCGCCGCACCTTGATCCCTGAATAACCCCACAACACATGTGTACCTAGTCAATTGCACATTCTAAAACACCTCATAATAGTACTCCGCTATGAATCATCTTTAATATATATATATATATATATATATATATATATATGATATGATTATGTCTAGATTTGGGGCATTTGTTATCCAATATTTTCATCACTTTTCCTGTAGAGGGCTAGAAATATATATATATATATATATATATATATATATATATATATATATATATATATATAAAAACAGCCCATAACAAGCCCCCCACAACATCTTATCAAAGGAGACTTATAAAGTTATTATTTTTTTTGTGAAGCCAGGCATTGTCTTATTCTACAGAGGTCAATTAAACTGATTGGCCATCCAAGAAGATCCTTATTGCCGTCAGGACACCCCAGGAATATTTGACATTGTTGAATTGTAGGATGCTAGTCACAGAGGATAATCTTTTTCTTTAAAATCTAGTAAAGAAGGATAGATCTTGTAGGAATATGATATTTTTAAATTCATGTTTTTTGAGAGGCTTTGATCTGCTTGTTCGTAAAATACACCCTTTGAATTGAAAGTACTGGAAATTGATAATTATGTCCCTTGGCAAGTCAACTGGAGACATTTTTTTATCTAAAGACTCGGTGGTGGGGGGGCAGGGCCTGACAGGCATGGAGGAGAGATGTGTATCGAAGGAGCTCCTCTCCTATACTGACTAATAAGCAGACTTTTGCCTAACCCAGCTTGATTTGGGTTGAATCAAGGGCTTCACTTACTTCTTGACCTAGATGAGAATCACTGCAGGGCCTGAAGATTCAATGTGAGCTCATCTGTGGCACATCTCTGAGCATGTGGCCTAGGTTGCACCGGCGGGAGAAGCGGCCGATCTCCAGGACTGGGGCTACACGATGGCAATGAATGAAAAACAGATGCCCCGTTTCTCCCCCTCCATCCCTGTGAGGCTGCCCTGATAGCACAGAACCATGGGGTGAAGCCATGTTGGCTCATACACAACCTGACGACTTACCTAAGATGGCGGCTGCCGCGAAGATCTCCAGCAACACGGGAGATAGGCAAGCAGCCTGTGGCTCCAGCAGCATGCAGGTCCCCAACATGGTGGCGAACCACGAAGAGCATCGATCCAGCGCAGGAAAGCAAACAAGAGGGACGCGCCGTGGTCCATCACGGAGACTCCTCAACGACCTGCGGTGCCGGGAATAACCCCGATCTGGTCACGTTGAACAACCTGCGGGCACACACAGAGGCTAGGAGAACCATCGTTCCTCTTAAAGCTGCAGGATATTGCGATGCCCCTATCCGGCATAGGCTGATACAGAGGAGCTGTTGCCCTTCTGTGACAAAGCTCTCATACACCCTTGAAACTCCTGTGACACTAATCTCCAGCATCCTTTCCCTAATCTCTGGTATCACCCCTGTCACACTCTTTACCACATGCAACCAGCCGGGGGCCTCCCTGGTAAAATTTCCTGTTAAAAATTAATGCTGATATATGCCTGTCTCTATCTTTAACCTTAAGAATATCTGTGTCTTAGTAACACTGTAGCGGTTACCCCGGAGAGTAGAGGGGTTCCAGCCGCCAGAGGGTGTCCTTCTCCCGATGGGTGAGGGGGGTATTCTCAGCATCCAGTAGTCTTCCAGGTAAGAGATCTTTTAAAAGAGCTAGTGTGATTAGCTGTATAGCTGGTTACCCCCAATAAGACACAAAACTCTAGATTGAGGGTGCAGAAGAACTGACTCCAATTAGTGTTTATGCCTGCTTAGATACAACTTTCCCAGCAAGGTTACCACTCACGTGGACCTTGTGGGGCACTGGAACTGTAAATTTAACAACCAATAAAATAAAGGCACATGGATAAGCACACCCACTTTTTACAATGAGAATCATCCCCTCTGCTTGGGAGATAATTGAGTTAATTAATGTATCAACTCAATTATCTCCAAGCTAAAAAAAACATACTTTTATGCCATTTTTGTAACTTTGTGAGTTTACATGCGATATCAATAAAACTTATATTTTTATAACCAGCATAATTTGTAGACAAACAAATCCAAAATTCACTTGAATCGGTTAAGTGGTTCAAGAGATAGGTGGAAGTCATATTTTGACCGAGGAGGAACAAAGCAGCCAGTTCCAACTGGTTTGGCAGTGTCCCTGGGACAACACCCTGCTGGAGAACAATGGGACAGAGGGAGGGGAAGAGACGCACCTTCCCATGAATTCAAAGGGGCAGAAAAAGTGTCTCAAAAGTTTCAATATGTCCATACACTGTTTTTAACCCCTTAAGGACCAAACTTCTGGAATAAAAGGGAATTATGACATGCCACACATGTCATGTGTCATTAAGGGGTTAAAGGGCCAGCCCTAGTCCAAATAAAAGTCCATAAGACCAACTAATGTTTTTAAAGATCCATACAGGGGTTTTGTTACAAACACTATCTGTCGACTATCTATATATGGTAATTTGCTTAGGCACTTAAGACTCATTAGACTTAACTGTATTACTAATCATTAACCTTCATACGTTCCTGATATTAATCAAAATGTCTATCCTACCTTTTGTAGTTACCACCCTGGTTGAAAGTTATGTTATAGACATTTATGCCTAGCCTGATCCCTTTTAAAAATTGTGCTGTCAATGATTGCCATGATACTGTTTATTCTGTGTTATTCTATTGTATCTGCTGTCGTGGCAATATAAGCGTGTTTGTACCTCTAAGCACTACAAAAATAAAGAATTAAAATAAAGACTCGGTGGTATTTTTCTGTGTTTGCATTGAACTTTGTTAAATGCAAAGCAGTTTTTTCAGGAAGTCAGTGGTAATGTGTGTTAATTGGTGAATCTTCTAAGCAGGACGACAATGAAGATTCCTCCATTTTTTTTTTTCTTTTTGAGGCTTATTAACTGGGGGAAAAAATTGTGGTTCCTTTAATAGCTTTAGAGGTAGCCATACTTCAAACGCTGCTTGTTTTTAAGATCAGACCTGGTTTCTTCTGATGTATGTGTCATTAAGCTAGGAGTATGACTCATTCACACTGTAATAAAAGTTTAACTCGCAAGTTGGAATAAACTTGGAATTAATAATAACATTAATAACTAAAAATAATAACTTTAAATAATAACTTAAAAACCGAGTGTAAAGTCAGAGTCCACACTCCTTGCTTTTGGCAATTTAATAATATTTATTAATAGAGGCTAATTAAACAAATAAACAATACATATACATTTGAAATAGGCTAGTATATGTTGCTACTAAAACTAATCATTGACTGAATGGAAAGTAGGCTAAATTAACATAGTAAAACAGGCATAGACACGTGATACAGTTACCACTCCATTGATCGTCAGCTGAGAGTAAGAGAGAGAGAGAGGGTGTGTATAGTGGGGAGAGGGGAGAGAGAGAGACAGAGTGTGAGAAGGGTGAATTCAAAGAGACAGAAAATGTGCTATTCACAGGGCTTTAAACAGGTTTGCCCCTCCTTCTGATGGACACACCTCCCTTAGTCAATCCCTTAGGATGTGGGGGAAGGGAGATTGCATTGGAAGGGAATGGAGGAGGAGTTTATCAACAACCCAATTGGTTTGCCTGGTGAAAGGCCATGTGCTTCACAGAGGACTCCATTATTGCCTAAGGGTAGAATGGGGGCTTGAATCCCTGTATTAGAACACAATAACACTTCATTGGCATACAGTTTGGCTGTTAATCCCTTAAGGACTGTTTTTGCGATGTCGTACATTTGCGACCAGGCCTCTTTTTACACTTTTCTGGTGTTTGTGTTTAGCTGTAATTTTCCGCTCTCTCATTTACTGTTCCCATACAAATTATATATTGTTTTTTTCAGGACAAAAGGGGCTTTCTTTACATACCATTATTTATATAATCTCATGTATTTTAATTTAAAAAAAAAAAAAATATGATGAAAAATTGAAAAAAATACATGTTTTTGGACTTTTAATTGAAAAATCTTTTACTCATCTACAAAAGTGAATGAAAAAAACTGCTAAATAGATTCAAAATTTTGTCCTGAGTAGTCATTACCCAGTGTTTATGTGCTTTTTTTTGCAAGTTATAGGGCTATAGGTACAAGTAGGATATGGCGGTTTCAAAACAAACATTTTTAAAATGTATCAATAGTGACATTGTAACAATATTATCTGTCATAAATCTCTGGAAAACACTCCACATGTATATATTTTTTTAAAGTAGACAACCCAGGGTATTCATCTAAGGATATTTTGACACTTTCTATGCAGCCATTTTACCACTAGTCTTTGCCAAACTTTGCATAGGTAGTTTTTTTTTTTTGTTTTTGTTTTTTCACATACATTGCAATTCAGGTATAAACTTACAGATCCTGTTATGTCTTGCTGCCAAAAAACACACTAATATATGTTCAGCAACATCTCCCGAGTACAGTGATACCACCCATGCATAGGCTTGTTGAGTTGTTTGGCAGCTAAAAGGCCACATTTGGCAGGTGCGCATATCCATTTTCTAACTTGGAATTTTGACATGTAGTCAACCTGCACACATGTCCTATTTGGGACATTTGTAAGGCCGGCCAATGTATTTTACCCCCACCAAACCATATATTTCTGGAAAGTAGACACCCTAGGGTATTTCAAATGGTGGTTTTTTTAACACTTTCCATGCACTTATTCTACCACCAGACTTTGTCAAACATTTAGGTAGTCATTTTTTGTGTGTTTTTTTTTTCACACACATTGTACTTTAGGCATGAATTAACAAATCGTGTTATGTGTCACTGCCAAACAACACGCCAATATGTATTCAGCAACATCTCCTGAGTACAGTGATACCACCCATGCATAGGCTTGTCGGATTGTTTGGGGGCTAAAAGGCCACATTTGGCAGGTGCGCATATCCATTTTTCAACTTGGAATTTTGACATGTAGTCAACCTGCGCACATGTCCTATTTGGGACATTTGTAAGGCCGGCCAATGTATTTTACCCCCACCAAACCATATATTTTTGGAAAGTAGACACCCTAGGGTATTTCAAATGGTGGTTTTTTTTAACACTTTCCATGCACTAATTCTACCACCAGACTTTGTCAAACATTTAGGTAGTCATTTTTTGTGTGGTTTTTTTCACACACATTGTACTTTAGGCATGAATTAACAAATCGTGTTATGTGTCACTGCCAAACAACACGCCAATATGTGTTCAGCAACATCTCCTGAGTACAGTGATACCACCCATGCATAGGCTTGTCGGATTGTTTGGGGGCTAAAAGGCCACATTTGGCAGGTGCGCATATCCATTTTTCAACTTGGAATTTTGACATGTAGTCAACCTGCGCACATGTCCTATTTGGGACATTTGTAAGGCCGGTCAATGTATTTTACCCCCACCAAACCATATATTTTTGGAAAGTAGACACCCTAGGGTATTTCAAATGGTGTTTTTTAACACTTTCCATGCACTAATTCTACCACCAGACTTTGTCAAACATATAGGTAGTCATTTTTTGTGTGTGTTTTTTCACACACATTGTACTTTAGGCATGAATTAACAGATCGTGTTATGTGTCACTGCCAAACAACACCCCAATATGTGTTCAGCAACATCTCCTGAGTACAGTGATACCACCCATGCATAGGCTTGTCGGATTGTTTGGGGGCTAAAAGGCCACATTTGGCACGTGCACATATCCATTTTTCAACTTGGAATTTTGACATGTGGTAAACCAGCGCCCCTGTCCTATTTGGGCCAATGTATTTTACCCCCATCAAACCATATATTTTTGAAAAGTAGACAACTCAGGGTATTTTAAATGGTGGTAGTTTAATACTTTTCATGCAATAATTCTACCACCAGCCTTTGGGAAACATTTGGGTAGTAATTTTCTTCGTGTGTTTTTACACATACATTGTACTTTAGGCATGAATTAACAGATCCTGTTATGTATCACTGCCAAACAACACCCCAATATGTGTTCAGCAACATCTCCTGAGTACAGTGATATCACCCATGCATAGGTTTGCTGGGTTGTTTGGGGGCTAAAAGGCCACAATCGAGACTTGTACATATCAGTTTTTCAACTTGATATATAGGTATGCTTGGCCTATCCTCAGTTTGGCATATTTTTGCATCCCCCCGTTAATGTTAACATCATGAAAGTTTATATTTTTGTAAAGTAGACATTCCAGGGTATTGTATATGAGGTGTTTTCACATCCTTCCCCCAACCATTGTGCTAAACAAATTTCAGAGAACGTGCATGGTGGTAATTTTTGAATTCTGCTTTTTATGCACACGTCATCTGGTTTTGGCCAGCCAGTTATATGTTACTACCATAAAACTTTTTTAACCAAATATGCAGGTATCAAATGCACCTTTAGCAGCATTCTCTAAACTAACTCCTGCAAAAAGAATCTAATTGGAGATTTGGGGGGAAGGAAACTGACTAACTAAAATTTGCTGCTTTCAAAAGAAAAAAAACAGTGCAAAGGGGTGTCTGTCCTTTTCCCTTTTTTATAACAGACCCGGCAACGTTTCTGGGGGTTTCTTTTTTTTGGTGTTGGCGGTATCTTAAAAATAAAATGTCTAGACTCCTCTTGCACCGTTGTTGGAACTTGACCATCTCCATAAATTATTGTGGAAATCAGCTTGAGCTGAAATTGGAGATAGGTGGTTCTTCCTGGATTCGTTTTTAAAAAAAGTAAAAATTAATTATGTGTTGCTGCTTGCAACTGGTAGATAGCCACCTTTTTAGACCAGGCTTTTGTATTTCTTAAGATAAGATATGGCTGCATCAGCTGATCAGCCAAATCAACACCCCCCATGTGCCTGTTATAAGCCCTGACGCACACCGGTTTTGTCTGTACCCTGCCTCAGACAGTGACATCTGACATGCCTTCGTTATGGATGGTTGTTAGCATGTGAACATCCTTCCTGTCCTTAAATTTTAGCGCAAGCAGTTCAGCTTTGCATTCACCCTTTTTTTATTTGGCCTCTATGAGAGGTCTGGGGAAATCCTTGGCATTTCTTCTTACAGTGCCGCAGGCCAGTGTCTGCAAACTATAAAGAATTTTAAACAAGTGGACACTGCTGTAAAAAATGTCCACATAAAGGTGGTAACCCTTATTGAACAAGGGGATCAGTAGGTCCCAAACAAGTTTCCCACTTGTCCCCAGAGAGTCAGGACAGCCAGGAGGGTTCAGTTGAGCATCTTTCCCCTCGTATACACGAAAGGCAAATGTGTAGCCACTTTCGCTCTCGCACAGTTTGTACACTTTAATGCCATACCTAGACCGCTTTGAGGGGATATACTATTTGAACCCTAATCTCCCTTTGTAATTCATAAGGGATTCATCAATAGATAAATTTTGTTGGGGAGTATAAACTTCAGAAAATCTGTTCTGAAGATGGTCTACCAGTGGGTGTATTTTATAAAGCCTATCATATTGGGGGTGATCTCTGGGGTGACAGAGCGTATTGTCGTTGAAATGTAAGTATCTCAGCAGCAGCTCATATCTTGGTCTAGGCATTGTTTGGGAGAATATAGGAGTCAAACAGATTGGGTTGGTGCTCCAGTAAGACCGGATTGATGGCTTCTTTATTATCCACATGAGCATGGTAAGAGCCCAGAATGTTTTAAGTTCAGGGACATCTGTGGGATGCCAAGCATGCTCCCTGACTGTATAGCTACCTTCATTGGTCTCAATAAATTGACTAGCGTATAAATTAGTCTGGGAAGCAATCTCCTCCCAAATGGTATCCCCTAAAAATAACTCCATATATTGTATAGGGGAGAAGTCAACCACATTCACATTAATGCCTGCGTTGGCACTAAAAGGGGGGATGTTGGGCTCAGCTAACTGTGGAGGTACCCAGTCCTCCTCCACATTCAGCGTAGCAGGGAAGCACAGCTTCTTTTAGCAGCTGGCTCACACACAGATGACATGTCACTAGACGTGCCGCTAAACTGACCTGGGTCAAAATCGGACGCAGTGTCAGTGGCGTCAGAGTCTGACGCCAAGAAGGCATATGCCTCCTCCAAGCTGTACATGCGCTGCATGTTTAACACTAACAGACTAAACTAACAAAATACTAAACATAATATTTTTTTTTTTTTTTTAACACTAAAACAGACTAAAACAGTAATCCCTAAACTAACTCCTGTTAGAAGAATCTAATGGAGATTTGGGGGAAGGAAACTGACTGACTATGACAGACTACGACAGACTAAGACAGTCTAAGACACAGATTTTTTAAAATAAAGTTAACCCTTAAGGGCAAAAAAAAAATACAGACAGTACAAATGCACTGTCTTAACAGATCTGGCAGGGAAGGGGTTAAAAGGGAATTTTTATTCACTGGTGATACTTTTTAATTCTCTCTGGAACAGCTGCTGCAACAAACTATCACAATCTCTGTCTCTCTCATCTCACAAAACACTACAGAGGGGAGAGAGGCAGAGATCAGTGTCAAAGTGAGTGTTTGTAACACCCACTTTGACACCAGCCAATTGTGAGCGATCGCGGATCGCTCACATGCCGCAATTGGCTGTTACTATCTGCCTGGGATGCCGTGCAGATAGTAACAACGGGATTTCGGTGGAAGTGATCTCCGATCGCTCCCGCCGCCCGTTTTCCGTAAGGACGGTTCAGGACCGTCCTCTGTCGGCAACGCAAAAATGCAGAGGACGGTCCTGAACCGTCCTGCGTCCTGAAGGGGTTAATTACATCCCCCCACTTGTTACACACACACAAAAAAAATAAAAATAAACACAGTTAATTTCCGTTGCTGTTTAAATTATACAATAGTAGTTTCTGAAATAGCACACTACTTATACTGTTCTTTAAAGTTCCTTCTTGCTTATATAGAACGTACAAATAACTTCTAGTTTAAACCATGTAGCGTTAGAAATTCAGAATCACTCTGTTGTTTTAACAGTAAAGTATGTCAGATCGGTCCAGTACACACCATAGAGAGCTGAATTTATGGAACAACATAGAGATGGCAGCTAAAATCAGTTATTTAAAGGGACACTGTAGTCACTATAACCACTTTGTCTCTTTGAATTGGTTATAGTGCCTGGAGTGGCCTGGCACTGTCCCTCCATTCAGTGTTGCACCATGTTTGTGCAGTATGCCACAAAATAAGAGTCCCTGGCCACCCACAGTCCGGCCCCTTCTGTATGTGTAGCTAAGGCAGAGATTACACACTTCCTTGTTGTCATACCCATTCATACCGTCAGTTGGAGCTCTGACAGATTAAAAGCAGTCAGCTGACACTCTCAGCCAATCACAGCTGCCCATTGCTGCTCAGGGTAATACTTCCTTATTAGCCAAAGCAGCACAGAGGGGATGGACTTCCGGGGTCTCTTGTTTAGCATTAAAACATTACAACATTAAAAACTGTTTAATGCTGAAAGAAATGATGGTACCAGGGGACTCCAGACTCTATAACCAGTTTAATGAGATGAAGCAGATACAGTGCCTACGGTGTCCCTTTAATTGGTTTCCCAACTGCTGATTTATACCATAAGCGAAATTCTGATACATTATACAGCTTTAACAATAAAATACATCACATAAGCTCGATTCTAAACATGAAGGGCAGACGTTTTAGGATGTTCTATGAAGTAGCAGCTAATATCACTGAATGTAATTGCTTACCCTCTCACAGTGTCCTCACACAATATTCAAAGCTTAATTTTGGAGTAAATATCCCCACAGACAAAGTGTATCTCTGTGCAGCAATAATGGGAAATGTCCCAATACAGCATATCCCTTTTCCTTACCCCTTATCTCTTCAATATCACTATATCACTTTATTATATTCTGTTTTTCCTGTTGACCCGGTTTCATATTTTGACTATTCTGACTATCTGTCTCCTTTTGACCTTGGCCTGTTTTCTCATTCTTGTGTACCTCTGTATTCCTTGAGCTATACCTTTTTTACTACGATTTCACACCTTTTTAGGCATACGTTAAGTCCGGCCACTCTAAGGTGTGGTATAGAATCCTGTTCTTCCTTCTATTTTGGCAAAACATCCTTCTCCCTGTATGTAGGGGTTACCCCAATCCTGACATTCAGGGTGGCCGGTCGGGCAGGCCGGCGCGCGAGGGAGCACTCAGTGCTTCCTCTTCAGCTCCCTCGCGCGCCGCCCTGATACCGGAGCCGGAAGATGACGTCATCTTCCGGCTCCGGCATCCCTACGCGGCGCGCAAGGGAGCTGAAGAGGAAGCACTGAGTGCTCCCTCGCGCGCCGGCCAGACAGCCCGCCAGCCAGCCCAGCAGCACCACTGGACCCCAGGGAATCCCCCCAGCACTCCAAAAGGTAAGGAGGCTGGGGGGATTAAATTTAAAAAAGAAATGTTAGTGTGTGTGTGTGTGTGTGAGTGTTAGTGTGTGAGTGTTAGTGTGTGAGTGTTAGTGTGTGAGTGTTTGAGTGTTAGTGTTTGAGTGTTAGTGAGTGAGTGTGTGTCTGCTAGTGAGTGCTAGTGTGAGTGTTAGTGTGTGTGTGTTAGTGTTAGAGTAAGTGTTAGAGTGAGTGTTAGTGTGAGTGCTAGTGTGAGTGTTTGAGTGAGTGTGTGTGTGTCTGCTAGTGAGTGTGTGTGAGTGTTAGTGTGTGTCTGCTAGTGAGTGTCAGTGAGTGTGTTACTGTGTGTGTCTTACTGAGTGTGTGTGTGTGTGTGTTAGTGAGTCTGTTTGATGTCTGTTAGTGAGTTTGTCAATGAGAGTGTATGTTTTGTAAGTGAGTGTGTATGTCTGTCGCTGAGTGTGTCTGTTAGCTAGTGTGTATGCGTCTGTAAGTGAGAGTGTGTGTCTTCAGCACTTACCTTTCTCCAGCGCCGGACTCCCTTGGCGCTGGGGATCCCTCAGCTCCGAATGCGACCACGCACGCATTCAAACCGCCCATAGGAAAGCATTACTCAATGCTTTCCTATGGACATTCAGTGTGCTCCTCTAGCGGCTGTCAGTGAGACAGCCACTAGAGGCTGGATTAACCCTCAGTGAAACATAGCAGTTTCTCTGAAACTGCTATGTTTTCAGCTGCAGGGTTAAAACTAGAGGGACCTGACACCCAGACAACTTCATTGAGCTGATGTGATCTGGGTGTCTGTAGTGGTCCTTTAAGTGTGTGTGCATCTGCATGCACTGGCGTACATACAGGGGTCGCAGCCCTGTAACCCCTGCGACCAGGTGCCCACCGCCATGTGTTGCGGCCCGGCCCGCATGCTGGGGGGGGGTCCACGGATCAATTTTCGCACCGGGGCCCCATGGGTCATGTGTACGCCACTGCTGACATTACAACAGGGCCATGGACCCTACAGGGTTAGGACAACAGCTAACCAATAATGAAGCACGTGGAACAAATGGATCATAGAATGGACCAATTTGCACAAGTGTTGCAACCCATACTGACTAGAACAGCATTTCTCCAGCAGGATCCACAAACCGGTTCCGCAAGTAACCAAACTCCTCCAGAATCTGCTCATGCAGCAGGACCTGGCCCTTCTATATATCTCACACCTCCACCTAGATATGGGGGTGATCCAGCACATTGCAGAAATTCTTAATCAGGTAGGGGCTAATTTCAAATTGTTGCCCAGAATGTTTTCTTCAGACAGGGCTAATATTGCATCATGAACCTTCTGACCGATAAGGCACTTGCTTGGATTAACCCTTTCTAGAAAAAATGATGATCCCTTGGTATTTAACTATTCCGAATATATCACGTCTTTTAGGAGGGTAATTGATCCACCAGGGAGAAAAATAAGGTCAGGGATAGCTCTCATGACAATTAAGCAGGGTAATAGGTCAGTCACTGATTATGCTTTATTATTATCTAGAATTATTGAATTCTGTATGTTATCTTTGGAGGTATCGTGGAATAACAACTCCCTCGTTACTGCCTTTACAGAGGGTCTGTTTGACACCTTGCTGGATGAGTTAGCAGCTAGGGATCTACCTGGTCAGTTAGAGGAGTTGATTTCTTACACACCGCATATAGACAGGAGAAGCAGGGAGAGGAGACAAACTAGGAACACTACCAGACGAGCACCTACATTAATTAACCCTGTGGTACATGCACCAGAACTATGTAATTAGGTTCAGCTAGGTTATCGGAGGAGTAAAAATCATATTGACGTAGAGAGTGGTTATGTCTTTACTGTGGAAAAAAAAAGACAGCTTAGAAAAGTTTGCCCTCCTAGGCCGCAAAACTTGCACACCTAAGTCCTAGTAGGAGACTGGCCTTGGGTTTGAACACTTTGTCCCCTATAACACCTCATACTTGCTTCCTTCTACCTATAACCTTAAAAATTGGGTTCTTACACTCCTCAGACGCAGGCATTACTAGACTCTAGTGCTGCCGAGAGTTTAATTGATTTAGCTTTCGCCACCAAACTAAACTTACCCCTTAAAGAAAGAGACACACCCTTGGCCGTTGCGGCCATAGAAGGTAGGTAGCCCAATTCTAGAGCTTACAATCACTTATGAGACAAAGATCTCATCTCTGACAGTTGGACTCTTACACCACTAGATAATAGTGTTACAGGTCATTACTTGACCTTCTGCCTTTATAGTGTTAAGATTTCCATGGTTGTACACACATAACCCTACTCTTGGCAGAGAAGGGATATCATTTCTTGGGGCTCTGCATGCAGGAACTCTTGCCTTCAGTTCAACCTTTATCTACCAGTGTACCAGATCAATATGCAGACCTTAAAGAGTTATTTAACAAGAAGGAGGCTGAGAAGCTGTCTCTTACAGGTCATATGATTGTACCATTAAGCTCCTTCCAGGTTACATGCCACTTAGATCTATCCTCTATCTCCTCAAGAAAACGAGGTAATGGAGGAATAAACCCAATTCTCTCTGGCCAAAGGTTTTATATGAAACTCATCCTCTCCTGCTGGAGCAGGTTTCTTTTTTGTACCTAAAAAAGAGGGGGACCTTAGACCTTGTATCAACTAGCAAGGGTTAAATCGTATAACAGTTAAAAATGCATATCCGATTCCTCTGGTTACTGAGTTGTTTGACAAAGTACAGGGTTCTACTGTATTCACCAAATTGGATCTCAGGGGGGTTTATAATCTGGTCAGAATCCGCCATGTTGAGGAATGGAAGATGGCCTTTAACGTCTGAAGCGGGCATTATGAATATACCGTCATGCCTTTTGGCTTATGTAATGCTCCGGACGTCTTCCAGGATCTCATAAACTATGTTCTTAGAGACTACTTAAATAGATATGTTCTTGTATATTTGGATGATATTGATACATTCACCAGATATCAAGACACATCACATGTATGTCCATAAAGTACTGTCAAGACTTTGGAAAATGGTCTATATTGTGAGCTTGAAAAGTGTATCTTTGATCAAGAGAGTATGCAATTCCTTGGTTACACTGTTAATTACAGAGAATTGCAAATGGATGTGTCTCATTTCCCAAAAAATGTTTGGATCTACTCGAGTGGCCAACTCCTTGTGGCTTTAAAGCTATTCAGAGATTTATAGGCTCTGCCAATTCCTATAGAAGGTTCATCCACAACATTTCCTCCATCATTGCTTCTATCACTGCCTTGACAAAAAAAGAGTCCCTAAAGTTTGGACTCAAGACACACTAAATTTATTCAAAACACCCAAACATTCCTTTTTTGTCTTTATTTTTGGTAGTGCATGTTTAATAGATAAGCTTTCGTAGACATTATTACATGAGCATACATAATGTGTTTGAAGTCAGTAATCATATAACATCTGAGGAACTGCACTTTTTTATAACATCATCCTGGTCTACAATGATTTAGAGACATAGGAAAGCATGACATGTTTACATTACTTAATGCAATGAAATCAAATATGCATCAGGAAAATAACACAGGAGTATAAAATCCCAGTGGTATGCCCTGACTAATTCTGCTTGTTAATTCCTTGCTTTCTATATTGGGGGCAGATGCGTAACTAAAAATTCTGGTGTGAAAATTGCCCTGGGGCCCCCTCTATGTATCTCATTTCCCTATCAAAAGAAAAATCAAAAGGTACCCAGACATAACTGGACTGACCATGCAGGTGGGGACTCTGAAGTTGGCCTATTTTGCAGAGAGCGTCCTTTTGCTGCTCACGCAGCCACATGCATTGTTAGAATCCCTTCTGATTCATTTGTCCAAGTATGGCAAAGTAAAGTTTTATAAAGATAACATTGCAAATACACAGATATTACCAATAAACTTAAACAGAGCTACTATAGATTTTTTGCAACACAAGTATCCCTTCGAGTGGAGAAAGGAGTTAATAACATACTTGGGTATGCAGATAGCCGCCTCTAAACAGATTTTATTAATTTTTTTAATAAGATAACCATTGTAAGCTGATACAAACAATATGATCCAAACTGGAAAAATGGGAGGGGACCTTTACCTCTTGGGTTGGAAGGATCAACTCCTTGGTGAAAATGTATATATTGCCACTGATATTATATACTTTTTTTTAGAACACTTCCAATAGGGATTCCAAAAACAATACTGGTAAATTTTCAAAATAATTTAATGCTCATATTTGGAGACCTACGAGCGTGAGGACGTCCAGTGTCAGTTAGGCAACTTTTGTTACACTGTACTTTTCGAAATAAACCTTTCTATGAAAACTGAAGTTTTTGGTTTCTTGCAGCCCACATGAACTTAGACCTTGATTATGTGGTTCGTGTTAGCCTTTTAAGTTTGACATGCTTGTACTACAGGCTTGCAGGGCTCAGTTCCAGATTTGAGACAGAGTCTGGTGGATGAGTGTTTGAACACAATTCACTTGAATAAGCTGGGGGGCCTTGAAGGGATGCGCCAGCGCCCAGCGGTACGCTTGCCCTTGTAAGTTGCAGTGCAACATATAACAATACCACCAAAATACTCTGATGTGTAGAAACTGAACAGTGATGTATATGGAGAACCTTGTTGGCTCTTCTTTTATTTCTCACTTCGTTTTCTTTTGTTCATTTTTTGTTTCTTTCTTCCTTCAGTATGTTAAATTGTACATGTACATGTGTTGATGCAAAATGCCTGGTAACAGATGTAGCTGTAGGGGCTGTCGAGTGACACTATCGTATTATACTAGAATGATTGAATGATGTAATGCGGATATGATGGCTGTACTGTTTTGTATTAAAAAAAAGTAATTATGCAAACAGGTTGACTGCTTACATTAGGGGTAATCAGGGAATGCCTGGAACCATAACCACCACAAAACACTTTAAAGGTTATGGTGCGTAGAGTGTTCCTTTAATAATGGTATTTTTCTGGATTTTTTAGATTTCAAAACCAAATGAATTCGACATCATGCTGAAGATACCAGTACAACGAGTAATTTTGATACACTTTGATAAAAGTGGTGCTTTTTATGAATTTCAATTTAAAAGACTACCAAAAAATAATCCATGGAACAGGTATTCAGATGAGATGTCAAGGTTTCCCAACAAAATAATGGCTGAATTACGAGATGTTATTAAAAATATTATAAAGTCAGGTAAGATATTAATTTTCTTTTTTAATAAAACTGATCTCTACTTTAAATATCCTTCTGTACTTATCATAAATCTTCATATTGCGTTTGACTGGAGATGATCACATTAGCATTTCCCATCCACCATAGTGTAAGCATAATTACTATTATTTCAGCAAATACATATCATAAGACACTTTATGAATTTTCACCAAGCAACCATCAAATCACTTAAAATTCCATTGGATAGGTCAGTCTTTCAGATTTTTCTTTCAAGTTTGATAAAGACCTAACTAAATGTCAAACGTTGCTGTTTATGTTCTGGTTCTCTAACTAAATCTGCAACGTATTGTAACAAACCACCTCTTTTACAGGTAGGATTGTCACAGATCTTGCAGTAACCACAGCCTTCTAGGGTATACAAAGTCCAGGACACATTCAGCTCAGTTTTCCGTTTTATTTGATAAGAAAGCAGGTGCTTTAAATAATAATAAACAAACAAGATTCCTTGCTCTTACTTGAGCTCTTACTAGACAGAAATCACTATCTGTAATTGGGTGGCTTTCCCACTTACCAATTTTCCCCCCCAAAAAATGAATTTGCAATAAACACAATTGTTGTTCTCTCTCCTAGCTGGCTTTTTCTCCCTCACTCTGCAGCAGGCTGATCTCTTCTTTTAAAGGCCTGTCTGCTAATTGACTAACTACAAGTGAGTGCCAATTAGTAAACTCTTAAGTCAGATCCAAATTCTGGTCTGTTACACAGCAACTAGTGCTGTTGGAGCATTGGCTCACCCTGCTCTCCAAATACTCTCTCCAGGGACCCATACCATGTTTTGCAGAGCATCAGCAATGTATATTGCAAACTTTAACATCTCTCCCTGGGGCATTTAACTGAAAATTCTCTGGTTGCTGTTTAGCAAATCAGGCCTGATGTATATTCCATCAACCACTATTCCACTTTTCAGTGTGTACCTTGAGTGCCTGAATCACATTTCTTTTTAGACCTGGGGCGTACCTAGAGCATTTGGCAAATGGGCAGATCTTGTATTTGGCACCTCACCCCCAACCTTAAAATGTAAAACACACCCGCAATCCTTTTTAATGTTTTCAAGCATACATATTGCACAAATGTGTAAGCTGCATGTTCGAAATAGTCCCCTCAAGGCCCCTGTATAAACTACAATAGATTCTAATGGGCACTGGAAATATGTCTTGTAACAGCACCCCAGCATAAAAGGGGTTAAAATGCATTTAGGAGATATTCCCTTCAAGATATACAGGCAGCTACTGAAGACACCAATTCACCGAACCGGAGAAGCATATGAATGCCGTAGAAAGCTGAACCGGAACCATACGAATGCTGTAAACAGCCGAATAGGAAAAACCATATGAATAGGTTTACACTCCTAGCAGTCAAACTGGAACAGCATACAATAATCCCCCCAAGAACGAGACAAGGCTCCGTTTTGAGGGTCAAGCAGGAACAGACAGAGCTGTAGGTTTATTGTTCTTATATACACATTCTTACACAGTACCACCCACAGGGTTTTGGAAAACAACCAATAAACATGTACAATACACTCAGACACTCCCACACAAAATCCTCCTCTCTGCCTGTGATACAATTACCTTACACAATGGGTAATGTAATTATCACAGGCAGAGAAATAGTTTTTCCACATTATTCATAACTTTAAAAGTATGCATCACATCACATAAAACTTAAATTTTCAGAATCAGCATACTCCAAATACAAACATATGCCAAAATCATCCAAATTGGTCCATTGGTTCAAAAGATAGATCGAAGTCCTTTGTGACCAAATGAAGCATGGCTTTTCTGCCCAAAACCAGTTCCACAGAGCCTTCTATCCTGGAGATAATTGAGAAGTAATCCAATTATCTCCAAGGACAGAGGCAAAACTCCATTAGCCACATGGTAGCAAAAGACAGCAAAATACAATAAAATACACAAGGTTACATTTAATACATAAAAGACAGACATGCAACATATCCCCAGATAGCTTAGGTCTGAGCGCACACTATTACTGAATGGCGCTCAGACCACACACATAGAGTTCAATTTCCATGGAGTCAAAGTCTTTTATTACACGAATAGGCTCCATGGCATAGCTATCTGGGTTAAATTAGTTCATTCAGTAAATCCGAGAATCTACTGAACGCCAGGGCAGAAATATAGAAATGGACCTTTCTGCATAGGAAAATAAAGTATTTAAATGCCGGTCCATAGTCAAAAGGCAGCAGGCAGGCAACCAGGCTCCTCCAATGCACGGTGGCAAGATTGGTCTCGTCACATGTCTCTCTAAGACTCTGGTCCCTATTCGCAATATAGTAATATAACATAGCTCTCTGATACCCAGCCCAAGTTGTCTGTTCTCACCTTAATTACTGTTGCTGACTGCTATAACTGGTTGGCAGACCTTCTTCTTTTCCCAGCCACTTTGTGCATCTGTTTCTCCCCCTTTGTGTGTCTCTTTTCCCCCTTCCCCTCCCTGTGTCTCCCCCAAGCCTTTCTATGTGCCTCTTTGATCCCCCAGCCCCATTGTCTCTTTCTTCTCTCAGACCCGTTGTGCAAATGTTTTCCCCCTTGCCCCTTTGGGTGTCTCTTTGTCCCCACAGCCCATCTGTGAGTCTCCTTGCCCCCCCTTAACCTCTCTGTGTACGTCTTTGTATCTCCCAGCCATTTGTGGGTTTCATTGAGCCTCCAACCCCTCTGTGTGAATTTGTCCACTGAGCCCTTCTGTGTGTCTGTTTGTCAACATCCCCGCTTGTGTCCTTCTTTTGCCCCCCTCCTGTGTCCTTTCTTTGTCCCCCCCTCCTGTGACCTTCTTTTGTCTCCGAAGCCTCTATTTGCATCTCTTTTGTGCCTCTCAGTGTGTCTCTTTGTGCCTCCCAGCCTCTCTGTTTGTCTCTTTGTTCCCCCAAGCCACACTGTTTGACTCCTCTGCTCCTCAGCCCCTCTGTGTCTCTCTTTGGGCCCCCCAGCCCTTCTATGTGTCTCCTAGCCCCTCTATGTCTCATTGATTCCCCCAGCCACTCTGTTTGTCTCTTTGTCCCCTCTCAGCCCCTTTGTGTGTCTTTATGCCCCACACCCCCTGTGTGTCTTTGTTCCCTTCCCCTCCTGTGTCCTGTCTTTGTCCCCCCCACCCCTCCAGTGCCCTTATTTTATCCCTCGTTCCTTCGTGTGCCCTTCTTATAATCCCTCCCCCATAATAGGTATGACAGGAAACAGTTTTTTGCTCTCAGTGAGCACTTCCTGTCAGACCGGGTAGGGGATACAGAAGCTCCTCTGCGGCAGTCCTCCGCAGAGGCCATGCTACATTCAGTGACCTGGGCAGTGCTGTCCCCTCCTGCCGGTCAACCAGAGATCGCACCCCCCCAGCCACACTGGGTGCCTGAATGGTACCTCCCTATGAGTGGTAACTGGGGCAGACTGCACCCCTTTTAGTACACCACTGTTTTAGGCATTTGCAGTCTTTTTCTCAACATAGAGACTTGAGATTGTGTTCCTATATTTTCTCTTATTACGCTGACTTTTCAGTTCTTATCAACCCTAGTTGAGAGAAATGAAGAAAAAAAAGTTAAAATAACATGTCTAATTAATATTGTGTTTTAAGTGCAAACATATTCCACAGTACTGTACAATAGGTGGACGAATAAAGAAGGGTTGCAACAAGACACGTTGGATGTACAGGAACAAACAGTGGTGAGGACCCGGCCCAAATAAGCTTGCATACTAAGTAGAGTGGGATAAAATAGTGCAAGAGATGAGATGTATTTCATGTAACGAAATGCATATTCTTCCATGAATGTGGAGTACAATTAGGATCCTGCAGTGTCATTTTTAGGTACCCTTTACTTCTTGTAAAGGGATGTTGAATGGGGTGAATCTTGTTAACGTATTGTAATAGTGCCTATGGCCTTAGGTAGCCTTATGATGAACCTTGCTATGCCTGTGAGTTCACTGCTGTAAGTTTATAGTAAACAGCAAATCCAATTAAAGGGACTTTCTTCCTCGGAACAACTTCAACTCAGTAAAGCTGTTTTGAGGGCTGGAGTCTCTCCAAGTCCATGGTAGAAGTTCTAGGGTATTGTAACGGTAGTCTCCGTCACTGGGGATGGAAGACATACTATATGTAGGTCCCCAGATTCTTCTTGTGTTTTGATCACAATGTGCCCAGTATTAGTGCAGGGTATGTTTTTTTCAATTAGTGACCAGACCGTTTTTCAATTTTCTTACCGTTGGGACCAGGGCTGTTTTTACATTTCTGTGGTGTTTGTGTTTAGCTGTAATTTTCCTCTTACTCATTTACTGTACCCACACATATTATATACTGTTTTTCTCGCCATTAAATGGTCTTTCTAAAGATACCATTATTTTCATCATATCATATAAGTTACTATACATTTTTGTATAAAATATGATGAAAAAATTAAAACAAAACACTTTTTTGAACTTTGACCCCCAAAATCCATTACACATCTACAACTGCCAAAAAACACCCATGCTAAACAGTTTCTAAATTTTGTCCTGAGTTTAGAAATGCCCAATGTTCTTAGCTTTTTTGGAAAGTTATAGGGCTATAAGCACAAGTAGCACTTCAAACCAATTATTTTCAAAATTAACGCAAGTTACATTGTAACACTGATATCTGTCAGGAATCCCCGAATAATCCTTCACATGTATATATTTTTTAAAAGAAGACAACCTAAGGTATTAAACCTGGAGTATTTTGAATCTTTTCATGCAGCCGTTTTACCACCAATATATGCCAAATTAAAAAATAATAATAATTGGTGATTTTTTGAGACACATAGCAATTTGAGAATATATGTACTAAGAACTTTAAGGGTTACTGACAAAGGACACCCCAATATGTGTTCAGCATCATCTCCTGAGTACAGGGATACCACCCATGTATAGGTGTGTCGGGTTCTCTGGGGGCTAAAAGACCTTATTTGGAGCGTGTGCATTCGAGTTTTCCAACTTTGAATTTTCACAGTAAATCATCATGCACCCATGTCCTATTTGGGATATTTATGAAGGCGGACAATATCATTTATCCCCATCAAAACATATATTTTTGAAAAGTAGACACACTAGGGTATTTCAAATGGTGGTATTTTAACACTTTCCATGCACTAATTCTACCACCAGTCTTTGTCAAACATTTGGGTAGTCATTTTTTGTGTTATTTTTCATACACATTCTAATTTAGGCATGGATTATCAGCTCCTATTAAGTGTTACTGCCAAAGAACACCCCAATATGTGTTCAGCAACATCTCCTCAGTACAGCGATATCACCCATGTATAGGTGTGTCGAGTTCTCTGGAGGCTAAAAGACCTTATTTGGAGGGTGCACATTCCAGTTTTCCAACTTGGAATTTTCACAGTAAGTCATCATGCACCCATGTCCTATTTGGGATATTTTTGAAGCCGGACAGGCGGACAATATAATTTACCCCCATCAAACCATATATTTTTGAAAAGTAGACACCCTAGGGTATTTCAAATGGTTGTATTTTAACACATTCCATGCACTAATTCTACCACCAGTCTTTGACAAACATTTGGGTAGTCATTTTTTGTGTTATTTTTCACACACATTCTACTTTAGGAATAGATTATCAGCTCCTATTAAGTGTTACTGCCAAAGAACACCCCAATATGTGTTCAGCAACATCTCCTTAGTACAGCGATACCACCCATGTATAGGTGTGTCGAGTTCTCTGGAGGCTAAAAGACCTTATTTGGAGGGTGCACATTCCAGTTTTCCAACATGGAATTTTCACAGTACCTCCAGTAATAAATGTGCAAACCGCCGTTTAGTAAATGCTCCCCGTTCGCATTAATGTAGTCTGGTAGCGTATGCAGTATAATCATGCGAACCACCAGCTAGGGAACACTCCAAACTCCCGAACGGTACCTGTATGGCTCTTTCCCTTCACGAACTCCAAATCCACGAACTGACAATATTAGCCGAACGCCAATATCTTCCAAGCGGCAAATAATCCAAATAAGCAGTCTCTAGTCGCCGGTAATAAAATCCCCCCAATAACGAGACCAAGCTCCGCTTTGGGGGTAAAACACGAACTGATTTACTGTGGGCTACCTGCCCGGTATTTATGCAGGTCTCCCACTTGGTGGACACTCCCCTAGGGGACCAAATGGGAGACTGGAATTACAGAAGGACATGGGGACATATCAGACATACATCCCCTCAATATTCCCAGCATGCATCACAGTTCCCTCCCCTCTGCTCGGGGGATAATTGGGAAGTAATTCAATTATCTCCCCGAGCAGAGGCAAATCGCCATTTTAAGTACAAGTCACAAAACACATAAAAATCTATAACTTTATAACTGCCGAACATATTGCATTCGTGTAACACATCCCCAGATAGCCTGGATCTGAGTGCATATTATTGGTGAATAGTGCTCAGATCCCATTCGCATAGTTCAAACGCCATGGAGTCAAAGTCTATTACAGTTCTTCGGTATGCGATTGACTCCATGGGACGGCTATCTGGGTTAAGTCCATTCGTGTTGTTGAATCTCCCGAACGGCCGTCATTCGTATGCTTTTGTCGATTGAGAAGGGGAGGTCGACGGCTTCAGCGGTGTTCGGTTGAAAAAGTGTCTGTTTTCAGATCCATGAAATAATCGTCGAACACCGCTGGTCTTTCGCATGGTTAAAATGGCCGCCGCCTCGTGGTCGACATACGAACGACGACCACCCGGCATTTGGTTTTAATTGAGAAGTGTCTGTGGTTAACCACAACGTTCTAATTGGGATCAATAGGTTAACCAGCAGCACACTTCTCTTCTGGGTGGCCGTTCGTTCGGTAGTTTCGTTCGACAAAACCAGACATTCCCTAAAACAAAGCATACGAATGGGAGAATTCATGCAACCGGCAAAGCAGGCGAACACAGTACTTTTAGTCCAGACAGATGGGTCTGTCACACATCCTAGCAAAACCTCTGAACTGCTCACTGAGAACATTTGTTCCCTTTTGAGAAAGATGCAAACCATCTTTTTTGTACAGGTTATTTCCATTCCAAACAGAGCTACCATGAGAAATAAAGCCAAATCCTTGCTCCCGACACCATTCACCAAGCCACAAATTAAAGTCCCTAATATGCATCCGCCTGTCGTTCTGAGTGTTATGCACAGGCAGAACTTCAGAGAATGACAGTGTGGAAGCAACCTGCCGTATATCATTGGCAAACACACTAAAAACTTCCTTAACCTCTGAAACCTCATTGCAAACCAAGTAATTTGTCCCTAGATGGACAAGTACATCCAATTCCCCTTCCTGCTTTGCTCGCTTAACATTATTACAGATACGTCTCCTGTCTCTGGGAGCAGTAGCTCTTGGAAGACAACTCACAAGACCACCATTGTCCATCGCCACACCTCTTATGATGGAATCCCCCAACAACAACTGCTTTCTATTAGGCCTCACCATAATCTCCAAGCCTGTCTCCACAACACCACTAGCCTCAGTGCCCGAGCCTGTCTCTACAACACCCCTAGACTCAGTGCCTCTCTCCACAACACCACTAGCCTCAGTGCCTCTCTCCACAACACAACACCACTAGCCTCAGTGCCTCTCTCCACAACACCATTACTCTCTGAAAGTGCAGAAAATTAATTATGTAGAGCAACAGACTGTGCAATATGCCTTTTATCCACAACTCTAAGTCTACCAGATCCTACAGTAATCCATCTGCCATTCCTAGTTTGTCTCTGCGGCAGTGGCTTTGCAGCAGTTCCAGTCTGAGTTTTTTCACCAGATAATTTACACATCTCAGACTTCAAAAATACAATCTCCTGCCACAAAATAGAGAACTGTCTACAGATTAGTCAAAAATGGCATTTCGGATCTGGACTGCCCGTATGGGTGGGACCAGTCTGATATGCTTCAGATATGTTCTCTCTGTAATGGCACAAGATGAGCAAAAATCAGCTTGAGAACTGAGCGGGGACCGACCGAAGGGCAGGCTATTTCAGCTGCTGCCCGTCCTCAGTATTCTCTTGCTACCCATTTTTGACTCTCCACAAGTTTAAAGGGATAATCCAGACGTGGACCCCTTGCTCACGGTGCCTAGGGAGATATCAGCTATGCCTCACTGATGATGCCTAACAAGGCTGAAACGATCGTCTGGGGTTGCTGTATCTCTCGTGCAGAGAGAACTTGCTGGCATTTCGGATCTGGACTGCCCGTATGGGTGGGACCAGTCTGATATGCTTCAGATATGTTCTCTCTGTAATGGCACAAGATAAGCAAAAATCAGCTTGAGAACTGAGCGGGGACCGACCGAAGGGCAGGCTATTTCAGCTGCTGCCCGTCCTCAGTATTCTCTTGCGACCCATTTTTGACTGTCTACAGATTAGACAACAGCCAAACCTCCAAAAAGTGGAACGTGAAACAAATGCATAGCAACTATTACACTGAACTAAGTCTGCCATTCCAATGAGGAGAATAATTTAAATCAAACAAATCTTAACTTTTTATTTATCCTCCTGAATACCTCAGATTACCTCCAGGTTAACTCCAGAATATCTCCAATCACACATTTAGAAGCAAAACTCTCCAGAATATCTCCAATCACACACTTAGAAGCAACACTTAGATGAAGCAACCAAGCTATATTAGCCAAGCTAATGACAACAACCCTTACATAACTCCTAAAATCACCACCCACTAGGAATGTGTAACACCTGGGTAGGCCTCTGCTTATTTGCAAACAATAACTAATTTAACCCCTTAAGGACCGGACTGTTTTTGCGATGTTGTACATTTGCGACCAGGCATATTTTTACACTTTTGTAGTGTTTGTGTTTAGCTGTAATTTTCCGCTCTTTCATTTACTGTTCCCATACAAATTATATATTGTTTTTTTTCATACCATTATTTATATAATCTGAAAAATTGAAAAAAAATACATATTTTTTTACTTTAACTTGAAAAATCTTTTACTCATCTACAAAAGCGAATGAAAAAAACTGCTAAATAGATCCAAAATTTTGCCCCGAGTTTAAAAATACCCAGTGTTTGCGTGCTTTTTTGCAAATTATAGGGCTATAGGTACAAGTAGGATATTGCGGTTTCAAAACATACATTTTTTAATTTATCAATAGTGATATTGTAACACTATTATCTGTCATAAATCTCTGAATAACATGCCACATGTACATATTTTTAAGATCTTGATAAAGACCCCAGCAGGGTCGAAACGTTGATTTCTTTTGCACAGAATTTGTACCATGTTTTTGATACAGTAAATACTTTTTTTCACTATACTGAAGTCCTGGTGTGCTCCCCTTATTGATTTATGTATATTTGGACGCGGGATTGCACCTAGGCATTTGATCTACTACAAGAGGAATTTCAGGAGGAGTGCCTTGCTTACCTATTTTTGTGTGTATATATATATATATATATATATATATATATATACACACACATATATAATATTTTTTTTTTATTAACACTAACTTTATTTATTTTTTATGTTTTTCACATGCAGGGAGACTGCCTGTCAGCACAGGCAGTCCCCCTGCAGGCAGACACATGGACACCTTCGTGTAACACATCCCCAGATAGCCTGGATCTGAGTGCATATTATTGGTGAATAGTGCTCAGATCCCATTCGCATAGTTCAAACGCCATGGAGTCAAAGTCTATTACAGTTCTTCGGTATGCGATTGACTCCATGGGACGGCTATCTGGGTTAAGTCCATTCGTGTTGTTGAATTTCCCGAACGGCCGTCATTCGTATGCTTTTGTCGATTGAGAAGGGGAGGTCGACGGCTTCAGCGGTGTTCGGTTGAAAAAGTGTCTGTTTTCAGATCCATGAAATAATCGTCGAACACCGCTGGTCTTTCGCATGGTTAAAATGGCCGCCGCCTCGTGGTCGACATACGAACGACGACCACCCGGCATTTGGTTTTAATTGAGAAGTGTCTGTGGTTAACCACAACGTTCTAATTGGGATCAATAGGTTAACCAGCAGCACACTTCTCTTCTGGGTGGCCGTTCGTTCGGTAGTTTCGTTCGACAAAACCAGACATTCCCTAAAACAAAGCATACGAATGGGAGAATTCATGCAACCGGCAAAGCAGGCGAACACAGTACTTTTAGTCCAGACAGATGGGTCTGTCACACATCCTAGCAAAACCTCTGAACTGCTCACTGAGAACATTTGTTCCCTTTTGAGAAAGATGCAAACCATCTTTTTTGTACAGGTTATTTCCATTCCAAACAGAGCTACCATGAGAAATAAAGCCAAATCCTTGCTCCCGACACCATTCACCAAGCCACAAATTAAAGTCCCTAATACGCATCCGCCTGTCGTTCTGAGTGTTATGCACAGGCAGAACTTCAGAGAATGACAGTGTGGAAGCAACCTGCCGTATATCATTGGCAAACACACTAAAAACTTCCTTAACCTCTGAAACCTCATTGCAAACCAAGTAATTTGTCCCTAGATGGACAAGTACATCCAATTCCCCTTCCTGCTTTGCTCGCTTAACATTATTACAGATACGTCTCCTGTCTCTGGGAGCAGTAGCTCTTGGAAGACAACTCACAAGACCACCATTGTCCATCGCCACACCTCTTATGATGGAATCCCCCAACAACAACTGCTTTCTATTAGGCCTCACCATAATCTCCAAGCCTGTCTCCACAACACCACTAGCCTCAGTGCCCGAGCCTGTCTCTACAACACCCCTAGACTCAGTGCCTCTCTCCACAACACCACTAGCCTCAGTGCCTCTCTCCACAACACAACACCACTAGCCTCAGTGCCTCTCTCCACAACACCATTACTCTCTGAAAGTGCAGAAAATTAATTATGTAGAGCAACAGACTGTGCAATATGCCTTTTATCCACAACTCTAAGTCTACCAGATCCTACAGTAATCCATCTGCCATTCCTAGTTTGTCTCTGCGGCAGTGGCTTTGCAGCAGTTCCAGTCTGAGTTTTTTCACCAGATAATTTACACATCTCAGACTTCAAAAATACAATCTCCTGCCACAAAATAGAGAACTGTCTACAGATTAGTCAAAAATGGCATTTCGGATCTGGACTGCCCGTATGGGTGGGACCAGTCTGATATGCTTCAGATATGTTCTCTCTGTAATGGCACAAGATGAGCAAAAATCAGCTTGAGAACTGAGCGGGGACCGACCGAAGGGCAGGCTATTTCAGCTGCTGCCCGTCCTCAGTATTCTCTTGCGACCCATTTTTGACTCTCCCACAAGTTTAAAGGGATAATCCAGACGTGGACCCCTTGCTCACGGTGCCTAGGGAGATATCAGCTATGCCTCACTGATGATGCCTAACAAGGCTGAAACGATCGTCTGGGGTTGCTGTATCTCTCGTGCAGAGAGAACTTGCTGGCATTTTGGATCTGGACTGCCCGTATGGGTGGGACCAGTCTGATATGCTTCAGATATGTTCTCTCTGTAATGGCACAAGATAAGCAAAAATCAGCTTGAGAACTGAGCGGGGACCGACCGAAGGGCAGGCTATTTCAGCTGCTGCCCGTCCTCAGTATTCTCTTGCGACCCATTTTTGACTGTCTACAGATTAGACAACAGCCAAACCTCCAAAAAGTGGAACGTGAAACAAATGCATAGCAACTATTACACTGAACTAAGTCTGCCATTCCAATGAGGAGAATAATTTAAATCAAACAAATCTTAACTTTTTATTTATCCTCCTGAATACCTCAGATTACCTCCAGGTTAACTCCAGAATATCTCCAATCACACATTTAGAAGCAAAACTCTCCAGAATATCTCCAATCACACACTTAGAAGCAACACTTAGATGAAGCAACCAAGCTATATTAGCCAAGCTAATGACAACAACCCTTACATAACTCCTAAAATCACCACCCACTAGGAATGTGTAACACCTGGGTAGGCCTCTGCTTATTTGCAAACAATAACTAATTTAACCCCTTAAGGACCGGACTGTTTTTGCGATGTTGTACATTTGCGACCAGGCATATTTTTACACTTTTGTAGTGTTTGTGTTTAGCTGTAATTTTCCGCTCTTTCATTTACTGTTCCCATACAAATTATATATTGTTTTTTTTCATACCATTATTTATATAATCTGAAAAATTGAAAAAAAATACATATTTTTTTACTTTAACTTGAAAAATCTTTTACTCATCTACAAAAGCGAATGAAAAAAACTGCTAAATAGATCCAAAATTTTGCCCCGAGTTTAAAAATACCCAGTGTTTGCGTGCTTTTTTGCAAATTATAGGGCTATAGGTACAAGTAGGATATTGCGGTTTCAAAACATACATTTTTTAATTTATCAATAGTGATATTGTAACACTATTATCTGTCATAAATCTCTGAATAACATGCCACATGTACATATTTTTAAGATCTTGATAAAGACCCCAGCAGGGTCGAAACGTTGATTTCTTTTGCACAGAATTTGTACCATGTTTTTGATACAGTAAATACTTTTTTTCACTATACTGAAGTCCTGGTGTGCTCCCCTTATTGATTTATGTATATTTGGACGCGGGATTGCACCTAGGCATTTGATCTACTACAAGAGGAATTTCAGGAGGAGTGCCTTGCTTACCTATTTTTGTGTGTGTGTGTGTATATATATATATATATATATATACACACACATATATAATATTTTTTTTTTATTAACACTAACTTTATTTATTTTTTATGTTTTTCACATGCAGGGAGACTGCCTGTCAGCACAGGCAGTCCCCCTGCAGGCAGACACATGGACACCTATTGTGACCATGTGATCGCTCTCTTGAGCGATCACATGGCCACAGGGGTCCTAATCCAGTGTGGAGAGACTGTCTGGGCTGCACTGGACGGCGATCGGGTAAGTAACTAAGACCGTTAGGACGGTTCAGGACCGTTAGCGGTCAGCAAGGCAAAAACGCAGATGACGGTCCTAAACCGTCCTCGGTCCTTAAGGGGTTAAACAGCAATCAATAGCAAGTAGCTAACTAATAAAATCAAATGCCTTATAATTACCAACAGGAAATCAAACCTTGTGCAATCAGTAACATTTTCCTACAGATGAATCTTACCTGTAACGGTAGAAAAGAAAACTCTTAGCACAACTCTTAGACAGTTGAAGCTTCTGTAAAACTAATCTTAATTTTATTAATGACAGGAGGCTTCGTATTTGCTTAAGTCTCTCTTTACTAGAACTTCGCAGCAGCACAGAAAACAACCAATCAGAAAAAAGTTAGGTATTATAAAACTCCCTTCCCATTGCATCATTTCATCTTTCAAGCTGTGACAAAACAGAAGAAAGGCAGAAAAAATAATGGGAAAAACGAAGTCTTAGATACAAAGAATACATCAATGTCCAACATCCGAGAAGAATGGTCAAACCGGATAGCATTGATAGACTGTAAAATAAATAAATCAATGTCCACCATCCGAGAAGAATTCCCACACCAGATAATGTTGATGGAGTGGAAACTGAAACGAGAGAAAAAACAGAATCGAACAGGTTGATTATCCAATGAAATGTACTCTGAACAAACATGTAGGTACCCAATGTAGCAACCAAAATCACCTTAATTATGTAGATATCCCAACCCTACTTACGAAAAACAGACATAAGGACAGGTGATAGGTAGCAGAGACAACAAGCAGAGTCGTATACGTACCTGATTAATCCAACTATAAAATTAAACAAGGGAGGGATAAGAACGGGTGGGAAATACTCACCTCCTGTCATTAATAAAATTAAGATTATAGGTACACTAAAGCTAGCATAATCTACAATTTTATAACATTACAGGAGGCTTGGTATTTGCTGTTTTAACGCTCAGCCAACGATGATTGTTTCGCTGGTACCTAATCTGGAAGTTACTAGAGCCATCCTAAACAGACCTTCCAACTGCAAGAAGTGACAGAATACGGATCAATGAAGATGCCAGCTGTCGAGGCACCTTAAATGCGGGAAAAATTATCCGCTTGTAGATCCATTGTACCTGGGGTTGCGACCGGTTTCCTAGCAGCCGGTCCAGGAGTTGCTAAGCTGACTTATTAGCCATTTTCCTGTAGGTGTAAACTGTCGAAGGTCATTTGCGGACTTAGGGCCGTGAAAAGAAACTGCCACCAGGTCACAACTCTTGTTGTGGACGGTGGCTCCACTGATCGTGCCAGGTTACCAGGCAATGTGGCCTTGCAGATAAATCTCCAACCTCAAGTATTGAGTCTAAGCTGACCATTCCGTCATGGAACACAGTAGGGTCTTTACGTTCCCTCCTGACTTACCTGGTGGGTATTCTCATCTGAGAATAAATTTATAAAGCAGGCAAGAGTGCGTCAAACTAGCCGTATCCTAAGTGAATCCAGTATTCCATATGGACTGTGCAACCCGCGACTGTGGTAGAGAAGGAACTCCCCAAGGGACGTCCAATCAGGGTCCCAACTGAACTTGTGTGGTGGAACGGTGGTCGACTATTCTGGGGATAGTGAATCCCGGACAAATTCAGAAGGATGGGAAACGTAAACCGGAGTTGAGATTTCCATCCAGATATGTCGTTGTCTAAGAGTAGTAAGATGTATGGATCCAATGTTGATTGAGATCTGTATAACGGCGAAGTGTCCTCACGTACTGTAGTGAGAGAGTGAAATAATCCGCTTACCCGTAGAACGATCCTTTTCCCATGTCCGACCTGTCGAAGTTCGTGTAGGGTTTCCTGGTCTACGCGCCACCTACAAGATAGGGTATAACACAGTGAGACCCCTAGGTCCCTGCGCCCCTGACTGTCCGGGCACGTATCTCCCAGAGTAGGCCCCAGGTCAAGGGATCCAGGAATGTGAGTTCGATAACCGAAGTCAAGGTCTCCCTATAGTACCTCCCTTCTTAGCTTGGAGTCCCAGCGAACACATAGCGTTCTCCAATACGCAGGCAAGGCGTAAAGTCCCTTTGCTCACAACAGGTGACTCCAGAGAGCAACTATAACGTAAAAGCAAGGGTCTAGCTTCAACCGTCCGAATCATTTGATGTCCCGATTGAGAATGTCGGCAGCCCTATCTGAGTCTGCTATACATCCTGAGCAGTACCCCAGCAGTAGGTTGCGACCCAACTTTGACGTCCGTGTAGGAGTCGGGGCACCCCGGGTCCCTCTATAGAGTCTCGTAGGACTCCTCGATGGTAGATGAAAAAGTGGGTTAGGGAGAAACCAAACCAAGACGGCTCCTGTGAGGGATTAGAGTATAGACGGAAGGCCCTCCATCCCCGAACCATGTTCTCCAGATATGTGCTCAGAGGAGCAGGGGCAGTCCTGTCATCTTATAACGAAATTGTAATGACCAGGGGACTCAAGTCAACCGGGGTTTCTGGACTTTCCATGCATATGGAGTACCTGCAGACCGGGTAGAGGGCCTTCCCTAGTCTTGTTACCCAAGCAAGGCAGTGCCCATTTGCTCCATGAAGGTCCCAGTATCTCACATCATCTTGATCTGGGAAAAACTGTCTGCGCAGTTTGTTGGCAATGGTCCAGATATCTAAAACAGAATGCAATTGACTGTTTTACATAGCGCAGAATATACCAAAACCTGCACTCTTGTATCCCTGAGTCTCATTCGTAAGCCATACCGTCTCCAGGAGTGTGTGTAAATAGCGGGAGCCTCCCCCCGTTACACCTCTGAGAGTATTTATCGTGTGGGGTACAGTGGTCTGGATCCAGTAGATCCCTTACAGAAGGAGAAATAGAGGGATCCAGACTAAATATGTATCCTGCATGATCAGGCAGCCCTCTATAACGAAATCGATAGCACGGTCGTAAGATCTAATTGAATGCAGGAGGGACGCCCCTCTATGCAGTCATCGTTGTCCTGTGCAGGTACAAGCCTGTGTGATGAACAAATGGACGGCACCGTAGTGCATTAAGTGTATGAGAGAGCCGCGCTCTCTAATAATGTGATCGAACTCTGTGTCAGCGTCCGGCTGATAGTCTGAGCGGGCCACATCCGTTAATAACCAGACAGTAGAGTCTACATCCGTGACCGGTTCTCTCTACGAGAATGTGTCACTCAAAACCTGACCTCTGTACCCAGCTCAGTAATGGGCTGAGGTTGAGGGAGGGCCGCAAGAATAGATCAGTGTCTGGTTCCATATATGAGAGGGGTTCGCTCTCTGTTCGTGAAAGAAAATATCATTCTTGGATCAAGGTGATGGAGGGTCGCACCCTCTTGTAATCCGAACTAGAGTCCTTTAGAGATTCTGGGTGACCAACTGCAGGGGTAAGCCATTCACTAATATCAGCATAAGACTGAGATCCTGAGGTGGGTCTCTCACTGGCCACGAGACCTCTCTCTGAATCGCTCACCTGAGGTGGAATTAACTGGAAATAAACCAGACCGATGGAAGGTGGAATAGTATACAGCCTTGGGCCGAGTCCCTCCCTAATAACAGAAAGGGATGGTGAGAAAAAGCAACCTACGGAAACAATGATGGGAACTACCAACTGACCGCCCGGATCCCGCGCGCGCGGGGTCCAGGATGACCGTTGGTAGCCTGAGGAAAGCTGGAGACGTTCTCCGCAATCCACCAGAGCCCGGGAGGTCGGAGGAGGTCAAGTCAGGCCTCTCGACGACCCGAGCGATAAGACCATTTGAAGGGTCGAAAAACAAGAAACGACAAATAATGTAGATAATGGTAAATATGTACATCGGAGAGCAGGTGAATAGCAGATCGGAACAGCAAGTCAAGTAAACCCAACTGAAAGGGTCAGGAGCTAAACATGACGTAGGATTAACTACCAAAACCCAAGTTGGCGTCTGAGCAATGGTCCCTGCTTGTGCAAAATTCTCTTCGGAGATGTGCCCCCGCCGGGTTGGTATGAACCATGGTGGCGCATCCGGGGATCCACATAATGAAAAAACCTCGCCCTTCAGAACATGAGGTTTAGGGCCTTCACCCTTTCAATCATATTGAGGTGCCCATGTACTGGTGTCCTCTTGGATGGTAAGGCAGCAGAGCTTGCCTGGATACCCATCTATCTCCATGTCAATAGTGGGCACTTGGCTCTTCTCTGTCATATCCTCCCAGGCCTGCTACCAAAAGGGATTTTGGCACAGATAGGGCAGGCCAGTCAGAAAGGTACTGATATAGCAGGCCAATCAAGTGGGCACAGACCTAGCAGGCCAATCAAGTGATCACAGACCTAACAGGTCAGTCCATGGAGCGCAGACGTAGCTGGCCAATCCATGGGGCGCAGATGTAGCTGGCCAAACAATGGGGCGCAGACGTAGCTGGCCAATCAATGGGGCGCAGACGTAGCTGGCCAATCATTGGGACGCAGACGTAGCTGGCCAATCATTGGGACGCAGACGTAGCTGGCCAATCAATGGGGAGCAGACGTAGCTGGCCAATCAATGGGGCACAGAACATAACAGGCCAATCAATGGGGCACAGAACATAGGCCAATCAATGGGGCACAGACATAGTAGGCCAATCCTGGGTTGCGTCTGAACGAGTAATAAGGGACCTCTGTGAGGGTAGAGTCCCCTATCTATAAATCTTCAGGGTATCTTGAGAAGTAGGTCCCCCAGACGTCAACCCTTTAGACAGTGCAACACTGTGTTAATACAACTGTACTGGGACTAGCAGTCCCTAAATGCCCAGCAGGCAAAATAGGGGTACATAGGCTGAAAAATGACTATAATGTCCATAAATTCATGATATACAGAGCGACTCATATGTTAACTGTGAATGGGTTATGTACATGAACCTGCAGCCCTGTGTGAGATATTTTCATCAATATTATGTATAATCAGCATACCATGTGAATTGTATTGGTGTCAGCACAGACTGGTCTCCCATGCAGTTTGAGCCAGAGTCAGGTCTGCTTAGCTTTTTATATACGCCATGCACAGTAAATATCTTACTATAGAAGTCTTAGCTCTGACTTCAGGGATGGATCAGGCACATATACACTGAAGCACAAAATCTTCACATCATGTCAAATCCATCAAGGAATATGGGCACTTGATCCACATGTTTCTGTATCAAGTGTATAAATACCCAGCAAATTCCTTGTGACCCACAGTGCTTGGGCTCTTGTAGTACAGGGGATTTGAACTCTTGGAGGAAGTTACTACAGAAGCACACAATAGTGTGCTTACACCTGGCCTAATAGGTGAACTGGCTCTGTATGAACCATCTGACAGCCAGAACCCCAACAGGTGAAGAAAACTATACTCCGACCACCGTAGGTGGAGGAGGGGCCGCGGGCAGGCGCATCCTCCTCTAGCCGGTCGGATGCTTCAAAGGAGCCACGCGGCTTTAGAGGGAGCTGTCCGCGGCGATGTGGCCACGTGCGTGAGAGGCCTTGCCGCCGGGTACTCACGTCCGACCGCGAGCAATCCCGGGCGCCGGCAGGCTCACACTTTACCTCAGGGAATCAGAGGAGGCAGCCTTAAAACGGCTAGTCTCCTGACTCCCCGAGCGGAGCACCCGTAATCCGTGGGACGAGGAACAGAAGGGCAACAGAATGTGGGGTAGGGTGAAAAACGAAGGGGGATAAGCCGAACGTTACCCCCATATAACCACCACAATAGAGGAAGCATCCCCAAAGAAGCAGGGGAGGCCAATAGGAGACAAAAGGGCAGTAAACCTAATACAATATATGAAATATATATAACTAAACATAATATGTATAAGGCATAAAAATGTAATAGGAAACTAAATATAAAATATAAAAATGTATGTATAAAATACAAATATAATATGACAACTAATACAATATATAAAATATATAATGTGAAACAAGCATAATAAATATAAATCATAAATCCTACTAAATCTCAAAGCCCCCCACCATAAGCAGGAGGCAGTGGTACTCTGACCTGTACTGATGCAGAGCAGCAAAGAAAGAGGAAATGATGCAATGGGAAGGGAGTTGTATAATACCTAACTTTTTTCTGATTGGTTGTTTTCTGTGCTGCTGTGGAGTTCTAGTAAAGAGAGACTTAAGCAAATACGAAGCCTCCACTCATGTGATAAAATTAACCTCATCATGGCATACCATTTGTAAAAGTAGACAACCCAGGGTATTCCAAATGGGGTATTTCCAGTCTTTGTTGTAGCCACTTAGTCACAAACGCTGGCCAAAGTTAGCGGTTTTATTTGTTTTTCTATAAATGTTTTTGTTTTTAACATTTTTTATACACACATATATAATACGTGCGCTTGTAAATATTATACATCTATATATAAGATTTTTTTAAGTCTAGTAATTTGTTTTTTATAGGATTAAGTAACATCATATTGCTTTTGATTTTGAAAGAGAACGAGCATAAATTATAACTACATTTATAAGTTTGCATCCCCCTTTATTAGATTTAGAAGGTTATACTCACAGATATCTATAAGAGGTAGACTTTTAACCAGCTTATCACATTGAGTGTGATATCCATATTACCCTTGTAATTTCTTCGCTTAGAACTATGATTTTTGGTTAGATTGGTGTGGTGTCTTATTTCTTTTTATTACTTAGATATCACAGTATCTATACCAAGTATAGGCACTTCTAATCAATTTTTTCATATTTAGACATGTATACTTAGTCATCCTTATATTGAGGATTATACACTTGAATCTATATGAATTCATTTAATGCTTCCCCACTTATGCATAGAATCACTTTATATTTATATTTATTGTTATTAGTCTAATTATGTATGATTTTTTTATTGAACTGTATAATTAGGGTGCAATACATATCACCTTCCACATGGGGGATAATAGTGGATAATTATTTAATCTGGGGTTTCTAAACACTTGTGGTTTAAGAAGTATATTGCTTGTGAGCTTAGACATCTCCATTCAACCATCGGGTCACATACATGGAACAAGTTTCTGGTGCCGTTTTTGTGCTACCGGCTGACAGATTAAGTCTGTCTGATACCAGCATTTATAATATCGAATTTCCTCCAATGGGATGCGAGCGTCCTCGGTTACCCAGCCAACGTGAGGCTCGACCTATCAGGACCACTTCTATAGTCAGATGACTAACCAGGAAGTAGTAGCACAATACAGCAAAGGGCACGACGTTCCCGATGGTTGATGGTGATGTATAACAGCTGATGAGTAACAGCTAAATGTGAGTATGCAATTTTAACATCTCCTATATAAGTATGTTTTTTTCACTGTTAAGAATGTCTTTGTCCTGATGAAAGCTCCCTAGATAAGTGATAAGTTTTACAGTTTTAAACACTCATATTTGTGTTGAGTGAAGTCTCCCGTGTATAACAATAGCCCCCATGTACAGGTTTTATGGTGTTTTGGGATGTTACAGGGTCAATATAGGGCTTGCCCAATTCAGTTTGCCAGATTGCTTTGCTGGGTCTGTGTTGCCTTTTGAGACAATATGGTAGCCCAGGAATGTGAAATAACCCCATCATGGTATACCATTTTTAAATGTAGACCACCCAGGGTATTCCAAATGGGGTATTTCCAGTCTTTTGTTGTAGCCACTTAGTCACAAACGCTGGCCAAAGTTAGCGGTTTTATTTGTTTTTCTATAAATGTTTTTGTTTTTAACATTTTTTATACATATATATATATATATATATATAATACGTGCGCTTGTAAATATTATACATCTATATATAAGATTCCAGATGCACACTAAGAAGTAAATTTTTGAAATTCCTTGAGTGCCGGTATCCTTTCTTTATCTACATCCGAGCCACCAGAGCACCAGGTATTGTTTTCTATAAGTTGGAGTGCAAGGGCCCTTTGCATTTTTATATATATATATATATATATATATATATATACACACACACACACATGTATAATATACAATGGGACCTCGGTTTACAAATGCCTCGGTTAACATAATTTTCTGTTTACAAATGAAAATCCATTGAAAATAATGCCCGAACATAGATTTGAGGGATTCCCTGCTCTGGTGCGTTCGTCTATGTTCGGGGAAGTTTTCCCGAACATATACATACGCACCAGAGCAGAGAATCCCCATGACGGCTTGCACTAACGCCTGGTCGTAAGTGCGATCCGTGGTAGGTCGCCAAATGAGGACCACCTGTATATGTATAATATATTTATTCTATTATTTTTTTAGCAGCCTGGGGGACTGCCTGACAGCTCAGACAGTCCCCCTGCTGGCAGCTCCTAGAGTCCTATTGTGGTGATGTGATCATGGTGATCACATGGCCATGGAGGGCCGGGGTGGCCGGAGCTGCTGTAGGGGGACTGCTGGGGCCTCTGGCAGTCCTCCCCGACCGTGATCGATGCAGATCATTGGTCTAGGGCTCCTATTGCGGAGGTCCTGTCACGGACGTCCTGAACGACCGTGTTTTGTTGGACGTACCTAGTTTGTCCTCGGTGGTTAAGGGGAAATTATACATAGATATATATATAAAATTTAATTCTAAGTGTATTTTGATTTAAATATATATATATTTATATCAAAATACAGTGAGAATAAAATTACATATTTATATACATAATTTCAAAAAACTATTTTTCACAGTTTATTTTTAATTATTATTTATTTGTCATAATATAAATACATAATATATAAAATTATATATTATATATACACGTGTGTAATTTTACTGTGTATATATCTTTTATACAACATTATGACGTTATGTATAAGATATATATATATATACGTATTATATATAGATATAATATATATATCTCATATATACATATATATATATATATATATATATATATACACTTTTTTGAACTTTTATTAACTTAATTTTAAGTTTTATTAACGTTATTTGAACTTTTCCACCAGCAGGGGAACTGCCTGTCAATTCAGGCAGTCCCCCTGCTGGCAGTACTGTGGACACCTATGGGGCCATGTGACCATTCTTTTAGAGCGGTCACATGGACCCTGGGGGTTCTAAATTGGAGAGGGGGGACTCTCTGGGCTCAGTCCAGACAGTCCCCATAAGAGAAGAAGACCGATCGCCGGCGGGGGAACGCAGTGATCGGTAAGTACATGGGGAAGGGGGGAGGGTAGGGGGTAATTTTTTTTTAATTAATTTTTTTATTATTATTTTTTCTTAAAGGGACCCTCCAGGCACCCAGACCACTTCTTCCCATTGGAGTGGTCTGGGTGCCAACTACCCTTAACCCTGCGCAAGTGTAATTTTTGCAGTTTTTTATAAACTGCAATAATTACCTTGCAGGATTAACTCCACCTCTAGTGGCTGTCTGCTAGACAGCCACTAGAGGGCACTTCCTGCTCTATAGCACAGAAAACCTGTGCTAGAGCGTCGCTGGACGTCCTCACGCTGTGTGAGGACCTCCAGTGTAACTCAATTCCCCATAGGAAAGCATTGAAAAGCATTTTCAATGCTTTCCAATGGGGAGCTCTAATGAACATGCGCGTCCACCGGCCAATGTAAAGACTGGGAGGAACGGCGGCGAGAAGAAACCACCGCCGAAGGACATCGGCCGGGTCTCAGGTAAGTGACCTGAAGGGGTTTTCACCCCTTCAGCAACCGGGGACTGGGGGGTGGGAGGGAGAGGAAACCTGCAGTGCCAGAAAAACTGATTGTTTTCCTGGCACTGGAGTTTCCTTTTAATTTTTACAACTGTTACTGAGTGCTTCGACCTCTTGAGGCACTTAGTAAACGTTAGAGCATCTGAAGCCTGCGGATTGCTTCAGATGCTTTCCTTACACTGCCGGGCGCACGTGCAGCAAACCCTGAAGTGATCGTCCAGCGCTCAAAATAGCTCAAAATAGCAGTGGATGTACCAGGTACGTTCGATGGTCCTTAAGGGCCGTTTTTTGTCGGACGTACCTGGTACATCCGCGGTCGGAAAGGGCTTAATGCATTGCTTGTCTGTGCCTCTCCCCCTCCCCCCTTTTCCTGTCCCATTGTTTTCCCAGCAGGGTGTTGTTCCAGGAACACTGCAAGACCAGTTTGAACTAGCTGCTTTGTCCCTCCCCATCAGCCCTTGCTATTGTGTGACCCCACCATTCCTTGTACTATAGTACTCTATGCACCCTATTTATGTAAATGAGGCTGTTGGGGCTTAAAATATGTGTGCTATGTCTAGTAAAGTTAGTTGCTGTTTTAACCTTCACCAAGTGTCGTCTGGTGTTTGGGGAAATCTCCTGGTGGAAAATGTGTCCGGGGCTATATACACAGTAGCCTGGTTCAGGGTGGAAAAGGCCCTCAGTGATCCCAGTCAAGCCCCGGCGACTGGGTCTGTAGTGCTCCAGGGTCCCTGATAGCTACGAAGAAGCAGACTTGACGAAAGTACTCGGTCGGAGTACTGAAGCTCCGTCACAGGTATTGTCAGAACTGTTCTACACATGTTTTTACTATTTTACTATTTTTTATGTCATATTTAGCAATAACATTAAATATATCTTCTCCATAGATGAAACAATTAAACTTAAAAGGAAAACTCCTAACTGTCCTGCTATTACTATTGAGATTAAAAAAACACCAGAGAATATATCAGTGGACCTTGTTCTTGCTTTGGAAGTAAAAGGGAGCTGGCCTGTAGCAACTAGAGATGGAATGAATATTGATCGTTGGTTAGGGACCAGAAAGAAAAAGGAGTACAAGTACGAGAACGTCTGCTTGGTAGCCAAGCAACCAGATGAAAGTAAAGACAAAGGTAAACTTGATGAATTGTCTGTTTGATCTACATGCAATGTTTGTGCTAAAGGATATGCAATGCAGGTAATATGGATGTGAACTGCTTACATTTTGTATGGAGAATGCTGTTTAAAAAACATGCTAATTAAACAATCCAAACTTGAGTTAACTGACACATTTTATAGTATTATAGTGAAAGGTATTAAACTTAAACTTTATGCAGCTTCCACAGTGAGCACTCACCAGACCACATAGTGGTTCAAACTATTCTATTGCTCCCATAACTTTTTATAGGACCATTGAGGTTATAGGCATGTCTGTGTTTAGTTGAGTTGCAGTTCAGTTGTAAACTTGTCCGTGAAAGTCTGGTGGTGCCAAATGGTCACCCTTTAACCCTCATAATTAGGCAGTTGGTGAGACACTAACAATCAAATCAGTTTACGTAACTCTGAAGCTTAGAATGTTTTTTTTTTTTTTCTTTTTTTAGCCAAAGGATAAAATGTATGGCTCCTCCCTAAACCATACGCCATACTTTTGACACACACAAGCCCATACACACACAGTGTATGGCATGTGTCAAACAATTTTATTTTTTTATTTCATCCTGTTCCACTCTGTACCTTTCTCTCACCTCTCCTTACTTGTCTCCTTCTTATCGTGGTCATTAGCGAATGTCAGAACACAAAGAGACAATGAATTCCTTGCCCTGACCCTTCACCAGTGCTGCTGCATGCACCCGGCAGGGCTCAAAGAAAAAAAACATGTCTGCCGTTATCTAAGGAATACTCTCCCTTTAATAAAATGTATGAGTAGAGTTTATATTTGTTTGTCAAGAGTTTGTTTTGTTTCTATTGTTTACATATTTAGAGCAAGCCTGGCGCCTTTCATTTTCACACATCGAAAAGGAAATAATTAAGAACCATGGTAATGCAAAAACTTGTTGTGAGCGTGAAGGACAAGCATGCTGCAGGTGAGTGTAATTTGAAGTTCCTGTATTGTAATAAAGCTATTCATTAAAGGAACACTCCAAACACCATAACCACTGGTGCATACAACAGTCATTTTTTTCCAGTTTGGCCACTTTGGCCCTAAATGTGAAATCTGTTTTAAATTCACCTTCCATTCGCCACAAATCTCACTTTAGTGTATAACTTTGCAGTTGTTTAACACATTTTTGTTTTGCAAGTTTAAAGAGAAACTATAGCGCTACGAATACAAACCTGTATTCCTGGCACTATAGCTCCCTCTGCCTCCCTCCCTCAATGAGCTGAAGTGATCCCTACAGTGTCCCATTAACCTGATTCATGACCTTCCATAATTGAACTTTCCTGAATTATATTTGGATTGCCACTGCTAAATATTCCATGCTACAGCTACTCAGAAGTATTGTGCAGAGCAAGACTGTATATATTGTATCTTTTTATTTCTATTGTTATCTTAATTTTCTACTGAAGAGGACCCATTACTCTAAACTCTCTTAAAATAAGTTGGCAGCATGGCAATGTATGAGATCAGAGCATGAACAAGATTAAGAAGCATGTTTTACATAATAGATGTGGAATATTCACCCCGTGATAGTAGAAAGTCAGATACTTTGGTGCAGGAACAATCCAAATTGCTTATACACTGACCAGCCACAGCATTAACACCACTGACAGGTAAAGTGAATAACATTGACTTTATTCTTACAATGGCACCTGTCAATGGGTGGGATATCGTAGGCAGCAAGTGATCTTTCAGTTCTTGAATTTCATGTGCTGGAACCAAGAAAAATTGACAAGTGAAAAGATCTGAGTGAATTTGACAAATAGTGATGGCTAGACGACTGGGCCAGAGCATTTCCAAAATGCAGTGGTTAGTGGTTACAAATAACATACAATAGGACATCCCCCAAATAACTTCAAACATCATCCCAATGAATGAGCACCATATGTAAGCTGAATCCATCTTTGAAGAGTTTGAATGCCAAATGTCTTGTTTACAGCAAACACCTTGAACCACTTTCCGGTAGACAGGACACTGATTTCCTACTCGATGACGTGTTGTGGGATCAGCTTCTTTAGATCACAATGCATAGTGACTCATATACTGCCCTCATAATGCACTCGCTCACACAATTGTCGAAGAAAGTCTGGATTTTATGCTGGGAGTAACAACAGCATAACCAGAGTAATGATAATAAGAAAAAAATAAAAAGTAAGGTGATTAAGTATAGTCAAAATGCAGAAGGAAATTTAAAATCCCCTGAAAGTGGATATCATACCGGGTGGACAAAAATGAGAACGCCATCTGGGCATGACAATAGGAGAATGAAAAGAAAGAGCAGTCTTTGTCATGCACAGAAGGATTGAGGGATTTCGCTAACCAATCACTTTGAGGCTTTGGCTAATTAACATGATGATCATAATAATGACAATCTATTCCCATCAAATGCACTCATTAATGTTTTGGAACTGTAAATTATCAGATTATTGTTAATATTTTTTAAAAAGGTATTAAATTCATCCCATCAGGATTTCTAATTATTTCTCAGTGTATGTTGATGTTTTAAAATATTCTAAAACAGGAACTTTAAAAATATTTTTTTGATAGAAATGGTGTAAGAAGACAATAATTTAGATAATGAAAATGTATGTAAATATACTTAATTGAAAAAAAATTATCTACTTTTTATCCAAGATCCTACAGAACAATAGATATGTTTGAGCAGTTCAGGATCTTGAGAATTAGATAAAAATAAAAACAATGTTTGTATTAATTTAAATCCAAAAAAAAGAGTATTGCAATTTAACCCGTTAGTGACCCGACCGCTTTTCAATTTTCTTACCGTTTGGGACTAGGGTTGTTTTTACATGCATTGTTTGTATTCAACTGTAATTTTTCTCTTACTCATTTACTGTACCCACACATATTATATGTTGTTTTTCTTACCATTAAATGGTCTTTCTAAAGATACCATTATTTTCATCATTGCATAATTTACTATAAAACAAAAGTATAAATTATGATGAAATCTTTTTTAGAAATCACACTTTTTCAAACTTTGACCCCAAAATCTGTTACGCATCTACAACCCCCCAAAAACACCCATGCTAAATAGTTTCTTCATTTTGTCCTGAGTTTAGAAATACTTAATGTTAACATGTTCTTAGCTTTTTTTTTTTTTTTTTAAGTTATAGGGCTTTAAGTACAAGTAGGACATTGCGGTTTAAAAAAAATATATATTTTAAAAATGTATCAATAGTGACATTGTAACACTGTTATCTGTCTTAAATCTCTGAATCACACCTCACATGCACATATTTTTTTAAATTAGGCAACCCAGGGTATTCAATATGGGTATGTCCAGTCTTTTTTAGTAGCCATTTTGTCACAAACACTGGCCAAAGATAGCATTTATATTTGTTTGTTTGTTTAAAAATTCAAAAAACAATTATGAACTCCAACTTTGGCCAGTGTTTGTGACTAAGTAGCTACTAAAAAGACTGAACATACCCCATTTGCAATACCTTGGGTTGTCTTCTTTTGCAAATGGTATGCCATCATGGGGGTAATTCTTATTCCTGGGCTACAATACGCTCTCAAAGGCAACAAAACCAATCTGAAAAAACAGCCTTATATTTGACCCTGTAACTTTCAAAACACCCCTGTACATGGGGGTTACTGTTATACTCAGGAGACTTTGCTAAACACAAATATTAGTGTTTCAAAACAGTAAAACTTATCACAACAATAATATTATCAGTAAAAGTGCCATTTGTGTGTGAAAAATGCAAAAAAACTCACTTTCAATGACAATATCATCACTGTGATATGTTTTACTGTTTTGAAACACTAATATTTTTGTTCAGTGAAGTCTCCCGAGTATAGCAGTACCCCCATGTACAGGTTTTAGGGTGTCTTGGAAAGTTACAGGGTTAAATATAATGCTAGCAAATTAAATTTTCTGGACTTTCGGCCTGTGTTGTTAGGCTTCCCCCAAATTGCAATCAATAAAATTTCTTAATTATGTAAACATATTACATAAATATGCACATAGAATTTAAATATATATACATATTTATATATTTAAAGTCTACGTGTATATTTATGAAATTATTTATGTAAGTATGTATATGGACATATGTATATTTCATATTATTTTTATTTATATATCCATGGATATATAAATAAATTCATTCTAAGTGTATTATATATAAATTAAATACAGTTAGAATAAAGAGCAGTTAGAATATAGAGCTTGAATGGTGATTTCCTAATTTGGAGCAAAGCTTGATTCAGCCAATACACAAAGGGGTTAGAGGTGATTTGGGAGCCGTCCTATTTCATGCTACTTGTGTTCTGTTGATGAAGAACACAAGTAGCATCACCAGGTACAACTGTGGGCTTGGTGATTGAGGTTTATCTCTATGCTTCTGGAGGAATTGCTTTAAATAGTATTTTGTGGAGTTTCTATGTCCTGAGCTGTACTTTATCTGCTGCCTGCTTGTGAGTGACTGAATGACATGGTAATACCTCCCAACAATGGGAGGTATGTAATCAGGGTGTGTGAGTCCTTCAGGAGGCATCACCAATTACACAACTTGCAACCCTAATAAAGTCCATATCAATACCCGCAATGAATGGGCCCGTCCAAAAAGTGGTTCTAATGGTCTCAGCTCAGCATTAATGCATCTAATATTTGGGATGGTCGGACAGTACTGTGAAATCTCATTTTCAATTACTGATCAGTAAATAAAGTGTTTTAGCCATGTATGTTTACAATAAGGATTTACATATACATAGAAATTAACAAAACACATGTTTTTTCTGTTTGCATATTTTTTTTCTTTTTAACAGGAAATCATGCCTTAAACTTTTGAAATGCCTTTTGGAACTCATAAAAAATAATTCCAATAAAAAGAGCCTGGATGTGTTCTGTTCATACCACGCTAAGACTGCGTTCTTACATTACTGTGCAATTAACCCATTAGATACACAATGGTTAACAGAAGATCTGCAAAAATGTTTTGATGATTTTGTTGGATACTTTCTAACATGCCTTAAAGATGCGAGACTCCCTAACTTTTTTATACCTCATCACAATCTGTTTGACAGCAGAATTAAAAAAAAACACTTTACTCTTCTTCATGATGAAATAGAACATGAGAAAAATCAAGGATATCCAATCTTTGATAAACTCTGGGATTTATGATTTTAATAATTTTTCCCATGATTAACTCTTTGCCCAGCTCACCTATGCAAATGTTTTTGGTTTTTATCTGAATGTCTCTAGGTAGTTTTAAAAAAAATAAAATAAATATCCTGATTGTTTACACAAAATGATCGCGTATCAAAGAGCAATAGGAAGCATCTACTGTTTACATTGTCTTCCTAGAGTAATTGCAGTAATATAAAATAATAATTAAATTTAAATTTTACATGATTGTCTGGAGAGCTGAATAGCATATATTAAAACTATAATTTTGTACATTTATCTGTATGGTTTAATCATGCGATCTGCTATTAAATTAAATATGGGTATTAGCTTTTGTATCAACTATAGCATTTCATGTATTTTTTTTAGTCAGTGCTCAATGGTCATGACAGAGACCTGATATTCATATGTTGTTTACTGTAAAAAAAAAAATTGTTACAATTTGTAATAACAATGTTAAAAAAGCTTTGATACTGGGAATTATGGTCAGCTTGTTTTCTGAATAAAGAATCAATTAACTAGTTTTCCAATTGAGGAATTGGTCAATCAGCTTAAATTGATTACAGAATATTGGTCTAGTAGTCAATTAGTTGAATTAACAACAATAACCTTGATAGAATAGTTGTACTAGTGCACAAGTTCTTAAATCTCAAGAATATAATCTACAACCAGGGCTGGACTTGCCCACCGGGATACCGGGAAATTTATCGGTGGGCCTACATATCGTCAGGGATGGTGAAACCATAAGAATGCACTGGCAGAGAAAGAGAGACACAGAGGGGCTGTTGGGAGAAAGAAACACACGCAGGGGCAGCGAAAGGGAAACAAGAGACACACAGAAAGGCTGGGGAAGGGAAACAAGAGACCCACAGAGGGGCTGGGGAAGGGGAGAATGAGACATAAAGAGGTTCTGTGGGGAAAGAGCCACACAGAGGTGTGATGCTGAGGCAGAAGAAAGAGGCACACAGAAGGGCGGGGGAAGAGGGAAAAGAGAAACACAGTGTCACATTCTGTTCCGTTCTGCCTTGGCTCCTGGTATCCAGTACTCTTTTTACAATTTTTGTTTGGTTTTTCTGGTTTTCTATTCTATGTCTGGTTTTCTTTTTGCTGGGTTTTCATTCCTTTATTACATTCCTGGATTTCCCAGTTTCCTGGATTCCTTTAAATGTTTGTTTTTTGTTGCCACACCCATTCCTTTGCCATTAATCCTTTTTGTTTCAGTCTGTTCCTGCTCGCAGTGGTCTCATTTCCTCTGCATCTTTCTTTGCAGATAAATGTGTGTTTTATTGTTGTTTGTTTAGTCATGCATATCTAGGCAGTTAGGACCCACCATAATTGGAGTACTTTGGCGCAGTGGTGGGCTGCATACATCTTGGCAATTTATGTATGTCTAAATCTCCAATGTTTATTACATATATAGTACTTAGTTATATCTCCTCTTGTTTTGCCTTGTATCTCTTGTCTCGTTTTATTTTGTCTTGTATTCTTAGTTCATGTACAGTCCTGTCCTGTTAATGTTTCCCTCCTGTATTGTGTACATGTTCTGGGTTCTGCTTTCTGTCCTGCTCCAGTTCTGGGTTCTTCTAGTCTTGTCTTATCTTGTTTGGTGCCTATTCTAGTCTTACCTTGTTTCTAGTACTAGATACATATCTGTTTAATATCAGCTCCTGGCATCCGCCAAGCTGCATCAGGGCTCTGGCATGTGATCGCACCACACCCTGATTGTCCATGTCCACGCTGAGACTCTTTTCATCCACATCAGGCACACAGGGGTCCCGGTCTTTGGACCACCACTCGTGACACACTGATAGCTGGGGAAGGGGAGAAAAATACACACAAAGGGGGCTTGGGCAAGAAAGACACACAAAAGGGGCTGGGGGAAAGAGACATGCAGAGGGGCTCGAGAAGGGTAAAAAAGATATACACATAGGGGTTGGGGGGAAATAAAAGATACACAAAGGGGTGGTAAGAAACAAAAGGTGTTTTTTTTCGGGGGGGATGCATCTTTGTCTGTAGTTTCCTACCTTTTGGGTGCTGGACTCCATTTCCTTCCAGGCTGCCGATAAGCAAAGGGCCCAGTAGCGGTGTTAAAGACCAGCCCCTGCTGACACATGCCTACTGGGTGGCACTAAGTGCATAGGCTACTCGATGGTCTCCCTTAATATGCGGTAGTTCCACCAATAGTAATATATATATATATATGTGTGTAAAACAGAACTTGGGCTGCACTCACAGTCTTTTATCAATTTCGTATCTGTATTCAAAATGCATAAAATCCTTAGATCAACGTTTCAGTCCTCTCTAGGACCTTTTTGTTTTTTTTCTTTAACTTGGACAAAAGAAGCCCAAAGGTCAGGCACCCGGCAATTTAAAGAGAATATTTGGTTTAGCGTGAATGCAAGGACTCCTGGCTTTGTATATACATATATATATAATTATATATATATATATATATATATATATAAAATACATTAATATTCATGTGCATTAGCATCAATACAGTTGTGTTCAAAAGTTTGCATACCCTTGGAGAGTGAGCAGGCAAAACACATTTCTTTTATTTCTTATGGGATTCATATTCAACCGTAGGTTAGAACAGAATGGCACAATCATAAAACAAAACAGGTCAACAAAAAATAAAATAAAATGGCCCCAGTCCAAAAGTCTGCATACCCTTAGTTAATACTGTGTATTTCCCCCTTTAGCAAAGAATAGTCAGGATACTTGCTGAGGTCAGGGGACACAGAATGAGATCCAACGATAAGGGAAAGCCAGGGATACCAGAATACAGGGAAGTCAAACGAAGCCAAAGTCAAAAAACAGAAATTAAACGTTCAGGAACACACTCTCGGACAACCACTAGAGAAACCACAACAGGGCAATGAGGAAAAGTAAATTTTTGTTTAAATAAGTGCATTACTTTTCTGATTGGCCTAAAATTACCTTTGACCCCAAAACATGTGTGCACGTCTCTCCTGTGACATCAAACGCACGCCGACGTCGTCATTAACGTCGGCGGCCGTGGGGGTACAATTTGGCGTAGATCTGCAGCGGCCAGGGTCCATCAACATGCTGCAAGAGTCAGTTATACAGACGCACGGCCACTGGGTTCATATACTGCAAGGAGGAGGAATATGTTACATTACCCCCACCTGACCGGTCAGGACCAGGCTTGAGAGGAAATTTGTCAGGGAAAGAACGGATCTTGCGGCCAGCATGGATGTCAGAGGCCGGAACCCATGAACGTTCAGCAGGCCCATAAACCCTCCAATCAACTAAATACTGTATGGTGCCCTGAGAAAACCTGCAATCAATTATGGAGGAGACCTCATACTCCATCTGTCCAGAAACAACCAACAGAGGAGGGTGCATGTGCAGGGTATGACGTAGGTACGCACGCACGTACCCGGGGGTGGAGCTACGGAGGTCGAGATGGAGGGTCGAGGCGGGCTGTGGCCTGGTCGGGAGATATAGTTCCGGATATACAAGTGGAGACGCTAAGCCAACGGGGAAGATAGGAGTGGCAGCTGAAGGTATAATTCCCAGCAGGAAGGAGCAATATCCCGGACATGACACGCTAGGAAAGCTGAAGTAGTAACCAGGCGAGCAGTAACCAGGCGGGTGGACAGACAGAGAACGGAACGACAAAAGCAGAGCGGTGGAAGACGAAACCGCCTGAGGAGATAAGTGTACTAATAGACGAAACTGTCCACTAAATAAGTTTTATCTAGGTTTACTAAGCCCTTTGCGAGGTGCTGACTGATATATTAATCTCTCCACTGATCCTATCCCAATACTACCAGATCTTTATTTTGCTCTTTTTTTTTTTGATACGGGGAAGTTAGAAACAGGGGTTGGTAAAAGATAAGGATAGAGATAAATAGGAGTGGATGTGAGACGTCTTGGGTGAATTTTATAAATTCCTTAATTTGAAGGGATTATCTGAAATGAGACTAATAACATATTTGGAGGAGGGCAGAGAGGTAAAAAAAAAAAAAAAGACAAATTGACTTTCATAATACAATGGCATCCAAATCCCACGAGAAACCGATCCTATAAAGGGAAAAGAAAAAATACCTTAAACCAGAAAGAGAAGCAACAAACTTCTTCTCACCCTCTAATAAAAAAAAGCCAGAAGAGGAATTACTAACGACATCAAGATTAGAACTATCATTAAGCAGTTCTGAGAATACATTGAGCACCCAGATAACTGCAGAATGTTTAGAGAGATGTTTAAATTCCCAATCAGAAGTATTAATGAAACAAATTAATCAGAACTCAGCAGAGATTTTAAGTCAGCTGAAACTCCTGACTGAAAAAATAAATATGGCTGTAGAAAAAATTATATCGCTGGAATTTCAGGGAAAATGAATGGAAGATCAAAATAATAATTTATCCAAAAAAATGAAAGAATTGGACACAAAAATAGGTGATCTGGAGGACCGCTTGAGGTGCAATAATTTGCGGCTAAGGAACATTCCAGAACTAATCCCCCAGGATAAAATTCCAAAATTTTTGCTCAATCTTTGGAAACCCTGGGGGATAGAAGTGGAGAAATACAATCACTGTCTCGATAGATACCACAGGGTATTAAGACCCAAAAATATATCAGATTCCAAAGCAAGAGATATAATATGCTGCTTTCAATCATTTCAATTTAAAGAGAAAATACTAAAAGCAAATAGAGCTATACAGTCACAAGGGGAAGAATATAGGAATATAATTGTATTCCCAGATCTGTCGTTTCTCACCAGAACGCAAAGGAAAACATTTTCTACAGCTACAGTTATATTAAGAAGCCATAACCTAAAATATACCTGGGGCTTTTCTATTGCAATAAGAATCTTTTCCGATGATCATTTAGAGGCGTTTGACTCAGTGGATAAAGTTATGTCCTGGCTAAAAGGGCAAAAGTTAGCATGACCGAAAAGAGACAAGACATAAGAAATGGAGAAACTTTATGCTCTGATAGTTTTTTTTTGTTTTGTTTTGTTTTTTTTCTCCTTTTTCACTGTTCCTCCTCTCCTCCTGGATACTATAATAGGAAATGTTTATATAAGGTTTTAATTTATTAAAAAACAATTATAGCACATATATGTATATATTTATATATATATATGTAATATGAATTTATTGGATTTAAACACAAGCACAAGATATACAGGTACACAAAAGTAGACGGCAAGAATAAGCAAGAAGGAACACCGACAGTGATATTTAAATTTATAAATGGAAGTGGGTTAAGAGGTGGGAACAGATTAATTATACAATAGTCACTAAGAATGTGATTTTTATCACTTAAATAAATCATATAAATACACAATAGGTAATAAGTAAGTGATATGGAATGGGGTAATGGACCAAGAAGTTTCTTGGGTCTCACTAATGATATAGCTGACTAAATTATAGAAGCAATTCACTAATTCACGTATTAAGATTAGTCAACTATATTAAAAGCGAAGTAGTTTAATTAAAGTATTTAGGAATCACTTATAAGAATTAAGTAGAGAGATTTTTTTTTTTGTCCTTTTCCACTTCTATCTCTAGTACTTAAGAGAACATTATCTGTCCATTATCCTTCCTGATAGGTAAAGTATATTAGATAAAGGGTGAAATGAAAGAGCAATTAGGAAGGAAGGAGAAATAAGTAGCAGGAAATTCACCGCAAAATGAATAGCATTAAGTGGGAAATTAAAGAGAATTAGGGAAGGAATGAGAAATAGTAAGCACGCAAGACACTGATCCTACCCCGTCTCCACATTTACCAATTTACTCTGCCCATAAGTTCTAAGTAGAACTTAGTGATAGCCTAGAGGTAGGCATCTAATTTTTGTATGTGTGAAGGTCTCTAAGTTACAGAGATCACAATAAAGGAAGTCAGTATGATTGTGTGTAAATGGTGTTTGAATTTGAGGTGTACAGCAGTGGCTGAGAGTACAGATTATGTTGACAGTTGTAGGGAATCGACAAGCCTGATTAAATGGCCTAGATGTGGCAATGGTTAAATTTTCTTCAATCAACATTCAAGGCTTAAACTTAAAAAATGGGCTTTTAATGATTATTTAGTTTCAGAAAAAATTCAGGTGGTCCTGATACAGGAGACCCACTGGACCTTATGCGATAGAACTAGGTGGTTTGGAAAACACTTTCCATTAATACTTAGCTCCTCCAAGAAAGATGAAAAGAAAGCCGGTGTGGCAATCAGTTTTTCGAAATTAGTACAAGTAGATATAAAACATCAAGATATTGATACTGAGGGTAAGTTTATAATTCTAGTTTGTGTAATTAATGGTGAATTATACACTTTAGTAAACGTATACCTGCCTAATATTAATCCGATGGGACTGCTTTCCCAAATACTAGAAGTTTCTATGGGTTACGTAATTATGGGAGGAGATTTTAACTGTGTCTTGGATTCGACAATGGATAAATACAGTAACAATAATACAATTCCAGATAAAAAATGTATAAAATATTCTAGAACTTTTCACAACATTGTTAAAAAAAATTACTTATACGATATCTGAAGGGTATGTAATCCCTGATCTAAAGAATATACTTTCTACTCATGGCCCCATTATTCATATTCAAGAATAGATTTTTTTCAAGGAGATCCAAAAGTATTAGAAAAAGTGGAACAATGATATGGATTTAAAGGAGGGAAAGCTTATCCATCCCAGGACTACCTGGAAATTAGATGAGTCAATTCTATATAGCATTGAAAATCAAGAGCTTTTGAAAGAAATGTCAGTGAACTTTTTTGAAGAAAACAGACCAACGGATACCTCAGATTTAACAACTTGGTGCACATATAAGGCGACTATAAGAGGG